CCCCTCTAACCAATCAAAATTTTATAAAAATTTATAGTTTAAGATAGAGTACGTCGAGTACCGTCGAGTAATTAGGGGAAAAACCGAGCGAGTACCGAGTAATTAGCGGAAAAACCCGACTCGGTTTACGCCGAGTCTGTCGAGTAAGTATTAGGATATTAGGATCCTCCCCCAAGTATTAGGATCCCAATTCGAGCCCGAGTAAAGACGAAAAACCCGAGCGTCTGCTAAAACTGGGAGAGGGCAAAACTACTCGGACGTACTCTTGTTTAAGATAAGTGTTCACTTTCGAAAATTCTGTATTTTTATCCCTTCACCCAGAAAATGTTTGGATATTAAAAAAGTTAGTATTAGTTGTCCAGAAGAATTGAGGATTTATTCGGATCCAAACAACCTTTATCTCTCCAACATTTCTTCTCTCTTCCATAATTTTTCTTTTTTGGTCAACTCTCGTTAGTAGCGACAAAATTAATTAATTTATTTATTATTATCCAAGAATTATTTATTAAAATTATATAGGTATCTCCTTTTAAAAGATAATAATTTTTATTTTTATTTAAACAAAAAGCCAATAACCAGTTGTGAATGTGCGCAATAATTATTTATTTATATTTATTTACAAATTGTTTTGTATTAAAAAAGAAATATATTTATTGTGTGGTTTATCTCTTACGAAAATAAATTAAATTAAAGTATCTTCTTATAATTTAAATATTTCCCTTTTTCACACACCTGCTAATTTATAAAAAAAATGTTTTTTTATTGTTATGAAAGCCTTAAAATTATTTTTTTTGTATATTTTGGTATTAGCAAAATACTTAAATACCCAACCTTTTTTAAAATATTTTTATTGGGTACACCCCAACGTACCGCGAGGCCACTGTACCGCAGAGCTATAACTTAGTTCAAAATGGTCGAATCCGGGACGCCGTGATATGGTTCGATTCAGCTCGTCGAGAGGCAGTGAACCATACCAAGACGTTTCGGATTCAACTATTTTAAACGAATTTATAGCTCTGCGGTACGTTGGCCTGCTCCCTTTTTAATAATATTTTTTAATAATATTTATTTTTAATAATATTTTTTAACAAAATCTATTTATTTTCAAACAAAAATAATTCAAAAAATTAACATTTTGTCAACTTGCGCATAGTATTAAAAAAAAGCATTGACCTTAATTTACCTCTTCTTGTCTTTTAGCAGATTTTTTTTCTTTTTTTTATTTTTGTCGCGTAAATTTTGTTTAAAAATTTTTACGAAAAATTAAGAAAAAAAATATTTTAATTTTAACACACATTTGAAGTTTATTTTTTAATTAAGTTAAATTAGGGGAAATTTTATTTTCAATGTATGTAGACTGGTTTAGTGGTTTACCGTAATAATTACCCTGGGTAAATATTCTTTCAACCGCTCGCTGGAGTAGGTAATTTATAGGGAGAAAATACTGGATTTGTAGTCTTTTGATATTGATTATTAAGCTGTTCCATTTAATATTTTTAAAATTACTGTAAGAAAAATAGGGGGTAATTATTAGATAGGGTGATATTTTGAGTGTGGGTATTTCAGCATTTATAAGGGGGCAGTACCGAGAAGTATCTGGTATCTTGTACAAAACATTTGGAGTGTGTGAGTTTGAATCTTTATTAAGATAAAGGGCTTAATTAAAGCTTAATTTGTTTTTAATGTCAAAATAATTTTTATTTTTTTGAAATTTTTTAGTAAATTAAAATGTTAATTATTATTTATTTTCCCTTAATTATTTTCAATTTAATTAATTTAATTATTTCCTCCCCAACACCAATAGTTCTAAATAATCAACAATCAGAAGAATCTCATCCTCATCATCATCAACCCCTTCCAACAATTAATTTATTTGAAGAAGAATCTCAACAACAAAAACAAAAAATATTTTGGAAAGCAATTGAAAGAAATACAGAAAATACTCCAGATATTATCCTTTTAAAAGAAGAATTTTGTAAAAAATCTTGTAATGAAATTATTGGAAGAGGGGCTGAAAAAATACAAAATGTTCATTGTGTTTGTCGTTGCCCTATAAATGAACCTATTTTTGTTAATACTCGAGAAGAAGGAAAATGTTTATCGAAAATTAATGGTTTTTGTTTTTAATTTAGTGAGGATTTGGCTGTAGTTTACATACCTGACAACTAATCCTCGAATAATTTTTTCTAAGATCTCACAGTTGATTAGAAAAGTCTTCGAATATTCGGAACCTCCGTTCTGCGGTTCCGAACCGAATACTACGTATTATTTAAGGTTATCCGAACCGTGTTCCGACTTTCTTCCCATCCCAGCCTATCCTTGAAACAAGTCAAAGATAGAGCGAGAATAATTTTTAAATCATAAAAATTGAAATTTTTCTCTATTTTTGAGAATTTGTGGGAGAAAATTTAGTTTAATGTTTGTATTGTACGAAAGAGAAAATTTATTTAGGGATTGATTTTCCGGGATTTTAAAGTTTTAAATTGAATAATTTTTCCTTTTAAAGATTGTTTTGGTCAACCTCTCAGATTTGAACAGATTATCAATGAAACAACAGAAGAGTTATCACTACAAACCCAAAAACTTTACTCCCCAACACTTAGCTTATCTAAAAAAGGAGAACCTTTAGATTTTAATTTAAGCATTGATTGGAGAGGTATTTTTAATTAATTAAAAAAAATAAATTTGTTTAAAAAGAAAATGGAATTAAAATGCGTTCTCGTGGAGGTCCAAAATGTTTAATTAAAAATATTTTTATTCTTGGAAATAATTCTGAATGGAAAGAAGAAACAAAAAAAGAATTATTTAAATTAGCAGAAAGGGGGATAGAAGGGAATTTTAATGGAAATTTATTGGTAAAATTATTTTTTTAGAAAAAAAATATTTCGAATAAAAAAATGGAAAATGAATAGTGACTGTAATATGTAGAAAATTTTGTTAGAAAAATAAAAAAATTAAAAACAAGGGGTTCTCAGAAAATCAAAAAAAATCTTTTCGAGTTTCAAGTTTTCGTAAAATTATTTCGAATTCCAACTTTTATTTGGCGGCAAAGATGTAAATTAAATGGAATAAAAAAATAGGGATTAAGTAAAAGTGAAATAAAACGGGATGAGATAAACGAGAGATTTAGAGGTAAATCAGAAAGGGTAATAACTTGGGAATCTTCAACAAAAATAGATAAAATATATTTTAGGTTATCTCTCTCTCTCTCCCTTTATTTTCTGCTTTCCCAATTTATCCAAATTTAATTCTTTTTCCTCAATTTAATTTTTCTTATTTCTTCAGTGGATGGGAACAGATCAAGAAATTCAAGAATTATCAGGAGGAATTGTTCGTTTAGAGTTAGAATGTGCTACAAAAAATAATGGGGGAGGAAATGCTAGTTTTTGTTTGGCTTTTAGAATTGAAGGGCAAATTGGTTTGGAGAAAATATTGTTTAAAAATAATTTTAAAAATTTATTTAGAATTTAAAGAAAATGAAAAAACAGAAATTGTTAGTAATGGAAATGTTGGAATGGAAGTAGAAAAGGGGAGAAGAGTTGAGGTAAATAAATAAAGTATTAAGGTACTCCTCTTGGACCTTTATAAGTCCTTCTTAGTAGTTTAATTTTTAAAAACGGTCACAGGATATTTATCGAAAACAGAAAAATATGTACAATTTCAGAAAATTCTGTGGTTTATTTACTAATGAAAAAATTTCGATTTCGAACAGATCTTTTAATAGAACCTCTCTTTAATATTTTTCTTCAAAAAACAATTTTTAGGTAGTTGTAATTATCCTTTTGGGTATTTTTCTCTTTCTTTCTTTATTTGGCTCTATACTTTTGTGGAATGTTTGTTGGCGTGTTCAGAAACGTAAATTGGTAAATTTGGATTTTTAATTAATAAAAAAATAATTATTTTGCATTATTTTCTTCTAAAATTTAAATATTATTTTTTCTGCTCATTTTGTAATTTTTTTCTCTTTTTTTTAATAATTTAAAAAAATAAGCAAATATTCTCTCTTTCTAGTTTTTTTAGAAATAAAAAAATTGCAAGCCAAAATCATTCTCTTTTTATTATTTTGTTTCCACAATTTCACAATTCCTATTTAAAACACGTGAATAATATATGGGAATGTGAAAAATAAAATAATTAAAGAATTTTTTTAAAAAACATTCCTTTTGCATTTTTTAATTAATCAAAACAAAAATGTATAGTAAATGATTAATATACACATATTTATTAGTTAATAGTTTAAAGATAACGATCGAAAAATTTTTAAAAGTCATGTGATTGGACTTTTAATACTTTAACTTTAATTGAGAGGGAATAAGGGAGTAGAGTTGAGTAGAATATATTTTTTGGTTTTGAATATTCGAAGATTTTCCAGGAACCTGCAACTAACTATGAGGAAATGTTAACCTCTACTTGATAAAAAACTTAAAAAAAACTTAACCTCTACCGTAAAATAGAAAACAAAATTAATAGGAATTATAGTTAAAGTGCTGTTCTGTCCAGTTGGGGTTAGTCTCTTATTAAAAGAATTCCAAAGATCCCCATTTTTAAATTAATCTCATTTTCATTTACTTCCTGCAGCTTCTGTCCTTTCTTATTTTTCTTTTCACTAAATTAATTTTTTGAAAAATTTTTCTTCACAATAATAAACACAATGTATTTTTGTAAAACAAATAATTAAAAATATTTTAAAGAATTAAAGATTAAATTTTAAAAATTGTTTGGCAAAAATTAAGAATGTATTTTTGTGGTAAAAGAAAAATGTGACATTAATAAATAAATGTATACAAAATAATAAAAAATATTTAATCAATCAAGAATGGAATGAAAAGTTTAAATAATAAATTGGAAATAAAAAATTAAAAAAATATTTTTAAAAATTAAGAAGAAACTTAAAAATCGTCCTGCTTAATAAAAAGCTTTAGGTCAACTTCTCTTTATAAACTTTCAATTAAACCTCCAAAAAAATTAATTTAAAAATTTAATTTTTAATTTTAAAAAAAGGTCCATTCTCTCCAAATGCAATTCTTCCATTATGCTCGTCAAGAAAAAGAAAAAGCAGTTTCTGAATGTCAATTAAGATATCAGGCTTTAGTTAAAGCAGCGGCAGGAATGCGTTCCGACACAACAACAACAGCAACCCCCACATCTTTACAATCCCCTTCTTTTTCTTTAAATCGTTCAGAAAATTTAGAAAATGGAGGGGGAGGGGGAAGGATTTCGTGTTTAGATGAATGTTTTTCTTCTCCGTCGTCTTCCTGTGAATATGGGGGAAATGAAGATATTGAAGGGGGGAATTTACAAAGAAATGATGAACAACAACAACAACAAAATGGGGCAAGACGGAAACTTTATTTTAGTTCAGGTAAATATTAGGAATTTTTTTCTTATTTTTAATTGAAAAAAGTTGGAAAGTAGAAGGGTTCGAGAGAGGGAGAGGAGCGTGTTTGGACGTGAGAAACTTTATTGCGGTCTTTTAAAATTTATTTATTTATTGCCATAAAGGCGTCAATGCAAATAAAACAACAACAAAGTCAATTTATTTAATAACGAGTACTTTGGAAAATTTTTGAAAAAAATGTTCCCAATAGTGTTGACTAGAGGTCGGACCGAGACGAAATCTCGAAAAAAAATTACGGTTGTCGAGAGTATAACCTCGATTTTCTGGGATATAATCTCGATTCCTGTATGCCCCTCACAACCCGGTATCTACATACATATTTGTTTGGGTATAAGAATAGTCTCTGTCGATAACCTCTCTTTGAAACTTTAGAGTTTCTGATTATTTATTAAATTATGGGCAAAAATAACCCCTTTCGATTATGTATATCTTTTGCATTTTTTCTTATATTTCTTTAATTACACAATAAAAATTTGTAAAGGATTTGGATACCTTAATTACTGTTAATTCTGCAAAATTTCATGGTTTTAGGTGCTCTTTTTTATTTTATTAGCCCGAAAATAGTTTTAAAATTTTATTTATTTACTTAAAACCTACACAAAAGCAACACACGCGATTATTTTCCACTGATCACATTTTTATTAAAATTTAATCAAAGTAATCATTAAATTTTGGTTTGTTGTTTATATGCTTATTATTTAAGAATTTGCAAACAAGTTTTTAATAAAATGAAGGAAATTATTAAAAAAATTGTTTTCAATATATTCGCGTGGATGATTTTGTGCAAAAATATTTTTGTAATTTTGTAAGGGAATTTAAAAAAATATTAAGATATTTTTTCTAAAATTACCTATATTTTTGCACTTAAGGGGTTTGAAACATTTTTTCTTATTTTCTCGAATAATTATTACTCTTCCTAGATTAATCATCCTTCCTAATGAGAGATCAAAAAAAAAATTACCCAGGGTAATTATTCAATAAAATAAGGAAGATTATTTTGTATGTGATTAACTTATAATAAATTTAAACTTAAGTTCATTCAGAATTTCCAATCTCTTACTTAATATTCTCTATTTAAAATGTATTTTACAAACAATATGTATTCAAAAATAATATACCTAGGTATTTATGGAAAAATTAGGGAAGAGGGTTTGTGATAAATGGATATATAATTTTAAAAAATTATAAAAAAATAAATGAATGTTCATTTAATTACCTTCAATCTTCTTCTTTTAGTCCTCTCTTATTCTCTCCTTTTTCTCAAATATCAAAAATAGATTTATTTAAACCAACTGTTTATGTTTAATATATCCGAAAAGAACATTTCCGTTCTAATCACCAAAAAAGCATTTCCGCTCCTTGGGGGGAATAAAAGGGGCCAATTGGAGGAGGGAAATAAACGCGCACGTCATTTTTTTCATAAAATCAATTAAAAAATAATTAATCAAAAAAGTATATCTATTTATGTTACTTGCCTTTACTTCCGCTGATAAATGATAATTTATTGATAAATCAACAATAAATTTTTCTTTGAGTCATCAGTTTATTTATTAGTTTAAATTAATTTTTGTTAGAGTAATTAATTAATTAAAATGTCTGGAATAATTATAGATACATTTGTGTGGACTAGAACTTAATACATTAAAAAAATTTTAAAAATTTTTGTCCAGGCAACCCAAAATTCCATATTTTCTCTAATTAAATTGACATTAGTTATTAGTTAATATATAAATATGTACTGATAAAATTATATTTTATTGATAAAATGTTAGGAAAACATGCACCAACCAATCCAAACTTTGAAATTTTGCATTCAACAATAATTATCAATACCCCCGAAAATTGATTAATTATTTAATTAAACATAAATAAAATTAAATAGTTAAATTTTTTAAGAAATGTTTTCAAGTTCATTTTATCTTAATTTAATTAATAACTAATCAAAAAATTTCCGAATTTTAATTTAAGTTACCGTAAATGCTAAAATAATGCCCTTCTCTCTCAAATAATTACCCCCGTCTTATTAATTACCCCCTACAGCCAGAGATCGAAAAAATCGAAAAAAGATAGAAAAACCCTTGTTTAAAAATAGTTATAATTCGTCTTTCTAAAAAATCTCAAATAATTACCCTCCCTTTTAATTACCCTCCCCCCCCCCCTCAGCGAGAGGTTGAAAAATAATAACCCTGGGTAATTTTAGCATTTACGGTAGTTAGCATTATTGAAGATCTCTTTACAAAAACCTTCATGGCTATGAATTTCCTAATTTATTTAATTTAGATAAGTAAAAATGTCCCATAAAAACCTACCTTAAACTTTACTAATTCTTTTTTAAAGTCAAAAGGTTTTTTCTAAAAAAAGAACTCTCTCTCTTGAAGGAGAAAAAGCCTATGTGAAAAACAGGTGAAAGCTGTCACTAAAAGCATATGTTTTTTGGCCAAAAATATTTAATTTCATGGACTTTGTTTCACCAAAAAAAATTTTTTTACTATTAATTTTTGTTCTCTGTTTTTGTTCTCTTTTTTCTTCTTTTTTTCTTTATTTTCTCTGTCATTCCCCCTTCTCTCTTTCCTTCCCTCCGCCCCGTGCTGGGGGGTTATTCATTCATTCCCCCCATTTTTATTTAAAAGGCTCTCGTTTTGAGAGAGCCAAACATAAATATAAAAATAAATATTTTTATTTATTTTCTCGCGAATTCAACAACCATTTTCACATAAATAAATATTTTTAGTTTGTCAGTAAAAAAAAGAAAATATTATATATTATGTACATACAAAGGACAAAAGTTTTGAATATTTTTCTTTTCTCTGAATATTTTACAAAATATTTTTATTTATTTTTTTTTCTTTTAAAATTTGTAGAGAAATCAGCTGAGAAAACTTTTTTTTCAAAAAAAATATTTTTTTTTCTTTTCCCTTTATTTAACCTAAAAAAGTTTAATTTATTTGGATGACTATTTCACCAATTAAAATATCTCCAAAAACAACGACTATGACCCCAACAAGTAGTGTTAAAGGGATGTCTGAACCTTCGGCTTCAGAACCGTCAGAACCTTTAATGCCCCTTATGCAAGTATATATGCGTAGAAGTGAGTTTTTATAGTGAAGGATTAGGAGAGTTATTGGGGGTAAAATAAATAAACTTGAATTTTTGCTTTCCAACTTTTTTCAGAATTTAAGTTGGAAATTAAATAAGCTTGTTATATTTGTTTGCATAAATTAAATAAACTTTCCAACTTTTTTCAGAATTCTTCGAACCCAAATTGATGTCAACTCCGCCGCCTATTGCAGAACAATTTCTTTATGACTTGAGGAAAATGATATCGGTAGCTAGGGAAAGAATTCGAAATAGGAGACATGGTGGGAATTTTTTTGTTTTTGAAAATATTTTTGATTAAATTCTAAATCTCAATTACATTTTTATTTTTTAATTTTAAAATTCGACAAAAAAATACTTTCGGTGAATTGTCCTATTCTGTGAATTGTCCCTCATTTTAGACAATTCTTCAGTAAATTTCCAATTTAGCTTTAAAAAACAGTTTAAAATGAAATTTCCAATTGAATAGTTTTTTAAAAAATTAAATTATTTTTTATTTCTTTTTTTAGTCCCTCGCCTTCCTCCTGTTGCAGAAAGTGACGACGAAACAACAATTTCAGCAGCAACTACAGCAAATGGCAATTGTATTATTTCCGGATCTCTTCAAACAAAATCAGAACAAATTAAAAACGGAACAGAAGAAAATAAAAAAGAAGAGAAAATTGCTCCAAATATTTGCTGTTTAAATAAAGAAAATTCCAAAGAAAAGGAAATAAGGAATTCGGGTAATTTACAACAAAAAATGGATTATTGTTTAGTTGAAAAGAAAGAAGGAAAGGGGGAAGAAGAAGGAGAAGGAGATATCCCTAAGGAAATTATTAATGAAAAGGAAGAGGTGGAAATTACTGAAGAAAAGAAGGAAGAAATGAAGGAAGAAGAGGAAGATAAAGCGTTCTTTGAAGGAATAATCTGTTCTGAAACAAAAATAGATTTATTTAATGAGACTTTGGAATTAAATGAAATTATGGAGGAGGAATTGGAGAAGGAGGAGGAGAAGATTGGGGAGAATTGCGGGAATATTGAGGAAATGAAGGAAAAGGATAAAGAAGAAAATGAAGTTGAATTAAAGGATAATGAATTTTTGGAAAATGATGAGGGAAAAATTGATAAATTTGAAAAGGAAATTGATTTGGGAAGGGAGGAGAATGAAGAGGAGTTGAAGAAGGATGGGGAGATAATGCCGATAGAAGACTGGTAAGAAGATAATTTTAATTTAACAGAAAATTTAAAAAATCTTTGTCAAATAAGAGCAGTTTTTTGGAAAACCTCTATACTATATACGCTCTCTTGTGTTTACACTCTATATAGTGTACTCTCAATATAGGGTAATTTGTTAGGCAGAAATTAAATAAAATATCCTTTGGTTAACCTTTATATAAGTGGACTGTCCAGAAGGTGTACACTAAATAGAGGTCTAAATGTGTTAAAAAATAATTTTATATTCTAGAAAATTAAAAAATTGTTTTTAAAGTTTTGTTGAAAAATCAGCAGAAACAACAGAAGAAGAAAAGAAAACAACAAAATCAGAACAAGTTGAAACGACAAAAGAAATTAAACAATCAATTCCTTTAATTCCTCAAACACTTCCAGAAAACCAATTAAATAATTCTTATATTCCTCCCCCAAGTCGAATACCCTCAGCAATACCCTCAACAATTAATGGAAAATCACCAAAAATTCCTTTAAAATTTTCTTCTTCAAATAGAAAAACTTCTTCAAATAATTGTGTAAAACCTCCACCACTTCCGCCTAGACCACCTCCACAAATTAATGGACAAAGTAATGGAACTACGCCTGTAGTGAAGGAATCTTTTTTGACTGTAATGGCAGCAAAGAGAAAAGCTGCTTCTGGAATTGCTAGAAGACAGAAACTGAATGGAAGGCGAGTTTTTAGAAAAATAAAATAATGGGGAGAAGGGTTTTAAAAGCTTTCCTAAGGCTGTGCAGTAGGCGGCGTGGTGTACTGGATAACAGATCAGTCCGGTTTATTGAAGATGCTGGTTCGCTCCCAGCTGCCGAATAACCTTTTGCACTAGCTAAAGGAGAGAGATAGCTATAGCCTAGTTGTTTACTCGAGCGTGGCTACTGAATCCCATTAGTTAAGGGCCTGGATTAAATTAATAGTCTCTTCCGTTCCTTGATTAACTTATCAATTGATTGATCAATAATTTTTATTATAAAATTTCCTCATCAAAAACTTTCTAATTTTAAGGGAAGAGGAAGACAAATCATTATCAATTGATAACAACAATTCTTCTCCAACCAAAGAAGAGAATTCTTCACCAGCACCCAGGAACGGAAGGCGTCTTTTCTACGCAACATGCCTTCAACCCCCTTCATATTATATGGGTGATGGTGATTCCACAACAATGAAGAAATCCTTGCCTAGACGCAAGAAAGTAGCGGCTGTCAACAATACAAACCAAACATCGACACCAACAGGAATACCTACACCAACGACTACAACTTTAGTTAAATAATTGAATAAAAATATATTTTTTGGATGTTTCTTTTAAATAAATTAATTTATATTTTAATTTAAAAATCAAGCAGAAAATTTTGAATACAAGAAGAAATTAGAGGGAAAATTCCCTTCCTTTTATTAAGCGTTGACTAACGTTTTTTGCTTGATTTTCCTGTTTACTTAGCTCTACTCTTCCATTTATATCTCGATTCGTTTTTTTTATTTTTATTTGATCTTTTTTAAAAATATTTGGAATTGAAGGAAATATTTCTTTTTTGTTTTTCCCAATTCCAAATAATTAAAAAAAAATATTTTTTTTTAATTTCGCCTGTTCCATTATTGCTCATTTTCATTAATTTATGCAAATATTCGAATGCTCTTTTTTTCTTCTAATCCCACACATAATCACACAATTTTCAGTCAGATTTTAAATTTTGTAAAAAGGAATAAAGAATTTTGAATAAGGAAATAAAAAAATTATTTTTATATTCAAATCAGTCACGTTTATTTAATCTTCTTTTAGTCATAAAAATTTAAAAAAGAACGGTTATTTCTGCCTGTTCCAAATTTTACATACAATCTATTTTTGGAAAGTTCAAAAATAGTTAAATGTCCACCAAATTATTGTAATGTCTAAAATACAGTTTATATTTCCGATTATAATCGCTTACCACAGGGGTGTGCGAGTTTCGCCTTTCGTCGATTTCGCCTTTTGGACTTTCGCATTTTCGCCTTTCGCTTTTAAAAATCACTTTCGGCACACCCCTGGTTTACCAGTCTTCTTTTGGATAACGTGAAATTGTGTATTTTGAACTTGAAGATTGTGGATTGCGGTTGCGTAAAAATTTTCCGATTATGGAAACCTCTGCCATTTACCCAAAGAAATTACCTAAATTAGTTTTTTTGTTTTTTTCCAAATTTAGTTTAACCAACTGTTAACTTCAAATAAATATTTACACTAAAATAGACTTTCATAATTAATTACTATCAAAAAACGAACAGAAGAAATTAACGTAAACAACTTTATTTTTAAAGATAACTTTCAAAGAACGACCGGAAAATGTTAAGAAATATTAAAGGTAAATATTAACGTTTTTAAAGGTCAACAACAGCTGTCTACTAGGGGAGAATGAAGAAAAAACGAGAAATAACCGTTCTTTTTTAATTACATACTCAACAGTAAAAAGGTGGAAAGAAGTCATTTTGGCGTTAAAAATATTTTTAGTCAAACAAGACCTCTAACGACAAATTTATTTGCGCCTAAATGACCCCACAAATAGTGTCAGTTTTTAACTGTTCGCTAGAAAAGAAATCAGAAAAAATTATTTTTCATGACTGATAGTTTCAGATAAAAAAGTGTTTATGTTTATTTATTTAATTTTAAAATTTATTTTTTGGCCAAAAATAGGGAAAGAATATTGATGATTAAGGCTGTGATAGTTAGGCATGTAAAATCAGTGAAATAGGCGCCTAAAATAGGCACCAAAAAGCCAAAAAAGGCACAAAAATAGGCAGGTAAAATGAGCTAACAGACCTTTAAAATTAAAAAAATACCCATTTATTCGTCATTTTTTGAATGATAAACTATTTTATTAAACCTTTTTGCAATTTATTCGGCATTTTGCCTCATTTTTTCAAAAAATGAGTAAATTTTTAAAAAATATCGATAAATGACAAAAGGGAAATCTCGCCCAACCGACAAAACGTCCAAACCCAAAATGTCCCACCACGAAAACGCCTAATCTCAAAATGTCCATCAGAGTAAAAATACTCAATTCGTCTAACTATAAATTAAAAATTGGAGTCGGCACTGATTTTTTAAATCTGGGACTGCTTTTTTTAGATTTCTCACCGGTTTTTAGGCAAAATTTAGGAAAAATCGCTAAAAAAGGCAAAAATAGTACCAAAAATTTCAAAATAGGCAAGAAGGCACAAAAAGTCCAAAATAGGCAGAAATAGGCATATTAAAAGTCACTCTAGACTCTTCGGACCAAGCTAAAAACACGTTTTTTGAACGTATTACATCATCCCAAGCTTGCAGAAAAAATAGGCATTTGCCTATAAATCACAGCCTTATTGATGATCCTCTCATTTATTAAGAGGAAATTACCCATTTATTTTAATGTAAAAAAAGATAATAAAGGAAAAAATAAGCAAACACTGGTTTTTCTTTAAAAAAAGATAAAAATTCTTTTAAAAAGCGAGGAATTGAAAATAGATTCTCGATTTTAATAAAGGAATAGATAATTAAATAAAAAAAATTTTTTTCTAGGCATTTAACAAGAATAAATTTTAATTTTTTGATGAATGTAGACAACTTAAAAATTAAAAGTTTTTAGTTGTCTAAACCCGAATTTTTATTAGGTAATAAAAAAATAATTTTTCATGTTTAAATAAAGAGAATTTCCTCTCAATTATTAATTTATTTTTTATTTATTATTAAAATAGTAGAATTATTTTATTTTAATTCCAGACTGTTTTTTACTTCCTTTAAAATTCAAAATATTTTTCCTTTATTTTCAATTTAATTTTTTAAAAAATTCTCGACTTTTCAAAAAAAAACCTCAAATTTAGTAAAAACAGTTTGGAAACTTACGAACACTAAAAAAGGACGAAAAGAGTATTATACCACATGTGATTAACAATAAATCAAAAAAGAAATATTAAGAGAAAAAGGAAAAAAGAAAATTCATTATACACCCGTTAAAAATAATTATTTAAAAATAAATTGGTTGCGGAATGGCCTAAATAATAGAAATGATAGAAAGAAATACTGGCCAAATTCACGTGAATATCACATTTTCCAAAGAACCATTAACCTAAAAAAAGAGAAAATTGGTAAAAATAAAAAAATTTTTAAAATTATTTTTAAATTAGATTTTAAAGCTAACAATAAACTCTTTATAAATTCATTTTCAAAATTTTGAAGAATGGAGGACTTTAGGAAAAATGGAATAAAAATTAATTTTCGAATTATAAAAAAATCAAAAAATCTAATAATTAAATCAGATACCGAACTGGGAATGTTGCACGATTTCTCGAAAAAAATCGATCTCGATAACCGAGATTTTCGTTCTAGATCTCGCTTATTGATAGCATGGTCTCTAGCTCAAAATTTAATTCGTGAAAGTAATAAAGAGGAAAGAGTTTATTATTCTTCTAATCTATCTAGAATTTTCTATAAAATTTTTTTGACAATCCCTGTCAACCCAATTTATTTTTAAAATCTCACATATTTATTTAGACATTAGCAGCATTTACAGATTGGCTCAATCGACGATATCTCCCTCCACCACGAGCATTATTCTTCCCTTCGATTAGATAACCTTGAAAATTTTAAATTAAAAAATTTTCATTTTTATACTAAAACATGGTTCTGTATCTATTCAAGGAAGCGAAATAATAGAAAGTATAAAGAATCCGGTGAATTATCATAGAGAGAAAAAAAATTTCCCATCTTAAAATCCTAATAAAAATAAAGATTCTCAAAAATTTTCTATTTGCGGGTTCAGACTTCAAGGGGTAGCATTAAAATATTGGTGAATTTCCCGTGAAAATTTAACAGAAAAGAAACAGAATTAAAGCCCAAAAAATATTATAACCCTAGTGAAATACAAAGGCGTAGCAAAAAAGCCTCAAAAATCTTTCAGTTTCACCAATTTCGGGTGGGGCCTCAGCCCCAGAAATCCCCCTAGCTACGTCCTATAAATTATACACAAATAAACAAAATTAAATAAAAAATAAAAACCGATAATCCTCCTTCGATTATAATAAGCCAAATAAGTAATACCCAACGAAAAGGCAAAAATAGCGAAATAATGCAAAGCATAAGTCTCTTCGCCAATAAATTCATCGTCAATCTTTTCCTAAATTTTTTTTTATTTTTCAAATATTTTTAGGATTAAAAAAACCTCAATACGATCCATTCCACCTTGAATGTTGTTTTTAACTTGTTGAGCTAAAATTTTATTTTTATAAACTCTCCAAAATAATTTTCCAAACCTAAAAATTTATTCCCTCCAGATTTCTTTCCATTTTTATATTCTTCTTCAATAGTAAGCATATTGTCAAAAATTCTCTCTTTAGGACTTCTAAAAGATTCTTGAGACATTTTGTTATCTGGTAAGCCTTGTGAAATCGGTTCTGCTTTTTCTTCTTTTATGCCAGATTTTTTTGGATTTTTCTTTTCAAAAATTGGTGGCGGAAGTTTTGGAGGAAATGTTTCTTTGGTAGTCTGTTCGGTATTTTTATGTTCCATATTATTTGTTTCGGCACTTTTGTCCGTAATCGTTTCGGTAATATTTTTATTTGAAGAGATTGAAGTTGGCTTTTTGCTGGTAGTGGTGAGGTAATCTTCTGTTATTTCTGAAGAATTAACAGTCATATTTGCTAGAAAAAAATATGTATATTAAAATTTGATAATGAACGTGTTTTGGCTTAAAAGATGTGGAAATGGGACAATTTTTAGTTAAAAATATTTTTTATTGGTGATACGTTTAGAAAATGATTTGATTTAGGCAAATTTCAAATTGAATTATGAAAGGATTTAGAGCCAGAAATTAATTTCTCTTAGACTAAATCGATAAAATAATTTCACAATGTCTTTTGATTAAAAGAAAGGGTCTAGAAAAAATGACAGGATTTCCGTAATTAGCCAGAAACCATTTAATCGACTAAATAAATTTTAAATAAAAGTACCTGAAGCATGGCCTCGAACAAATCCAATTACGACAATTATTAGAAGAAAATAAAATTTAGATGCCATAATCCTTTAGATTTTCTATTTTTTAAAGAATGGGTTGGCGAGAATCAATAATTACTCTTTAGAAATTATAGAGTATAAAACAGCCACGTTTTAGGTAAATAAAAAAAAATGCGAATTAGCAACATAAAAAATTTTACGTCTCAAAATTCAATATTTTTCGCCATTTGTACAAACTAAATTTTAAATTTCTGAATTTTGGCTAAAAATTGTAAAACTGAGAGTACTCTAGTTGACAAATTATGGTTCCCGCCAACCCGTTAAAATTATCAAAATTAAATATTAAAGAGGAGAATGAATTTAAAATAAATGGATTTCAACTAGAATCGAGAAAAACCGGCAATTTTTATAACATTTTTATCACAAATCCAACAATACAAACAATATAAGGACAGAGAATATACTCCCACATATTAACATACAATATTAGGGGAATTAGAGGTTACAGAGATTTATATATGGGCACAAATGCCAACTACACACAATAGGCCAATACAGTGTGATAGGGTATAGGAAGCAAATATATATTTATGAACATATCTACAACATCCAAACATCCTCCGGGCAGCGACAACTCCTCTCATCAATAGTGCGGCGACTGGCAACATTGCTCGTAGCAGAGAAGCATGCAAATCAAGAACAACAAGCTAGAATTAGAAAAAGATTATTTAGGGACGTTTTTTATAAAAATAGTAAAGGAACTCACACGCCACTAGCACCGAGAAAAGTATATCGTAAGCCCAGAGGTCGAGGCTGTTTCACGGCAACAGGTGGATCAGGAGTAGCAACCGAAGGATGTTTCGAGGAGCCGGTAGAACCTACGATCATAGACACCGTCTTGCCTGGAAATTGAAAGGAGATATTAAACATTCTCAAAATATCTTTGCTTTGCACTTACCAGTTGGCCCAGTTCCTACAGGCTCGGAGCTCTTGGCAGTAGCAACATCATTGATCAGACTAGACGCTTGCACATGCTCCACCTTGTCGCTATAATCCTTTATCTTTTTATCTAAGAGCTCTCGCGGACCGTCTCCCTGCGGGAACATTGCACGGAACATTGGATCAGGCTGACGAGTTTTGCCCCTGGAAAAAGAAAAATAATTATCGAATTAAGGTTTGGGAGGTTATTTTTAGTTGTTTTGCCAAAACAACAGCAAAATCTCCTAGTAATTTAGAGCCTTTACTCACTTGTTTTCCTCTTGCAGATGTTCATCCAAGGTCGCATTTGTGGTCGATTGAGATCCATTCGATGGCGGTCCGGTCGTATTTGACAGTGGCGTTCCAGTCCCATTTGCCTTTGTCTCATCGTTTGGCAGATCTTGGGGACGACTTAAATAAATTTTTGTATTTAAAATTAAATGAAGAATAAACATACACATTGGCGAAGAACACAGCAGAGCACAGGAAGAACACGGTGGTCAGCATGACGGCCGACGACTTCATGTTGTTGTTTGAATTACGCAACGATATGATGTGAAGAATGCGACGGTTTCTGATTGTTGGGATATTTCATGGGGAAATTAACGAGCTTTTATACTAATTGTTTAAAATTATTAAAAGATGAATCATCAAATGAGTTAAAATTTAATTTACGTGAACTTTTTTCTGATCTCGGGATAGTATTTGAATTTTAATCTTGATTATAAATCTTTAACAAATCGTCACTTAAGCGGTTGACAAAACGTACATTTTAATTAAGAATGGCGAAATGTCGGATATATCTTTCGTTTGCTTTCTTAGTTATTTCTTCAAAAAGACAAAACTTTTATTTAAAATTTTTTAATGAAAGTCTACTGTAACCTTTATTTAATAATTTTTTTTTTAATTTCAGAGTCATCTCGGCAATCTTTTAAACTTTGTAACTGATAAATGCGCCGTCATAACAGTGATTCAATTGTTCCGCAGATGGTTAAATGTCGACTTTGTAGAGATCGTAGTGAACACTCAAATTCGTTCATAACTGCGAAAATGGAGTTCTCAGGTCTCTTAGTTAATTTGAGCTTTTTTTGTCGTTAATCCAATTTCATTTTTAATTTATAAATTTTTTTATTAAATCTTTCATTTGGAATAACTTGATATTTTTTGTTTTTTATAAACCGCCGTTAAAGAAACTGTCTGCGATCGTTCAGAAGTTAATGTGTTTCAAAGTGTCTTTTGTCTTTCTTGTGATAGGATGCCGAATGTTGCTTCTCGCAATAATACTAGCTCTAATTTGAAGGTGAGAGATTTTTTAAATTTAAACTAAAACTTCGGGGTCTGTTATTGGCCAGAGTTCAAACAAAAAGCTTATCTAAATTATTTTTCAATTTTTAGACACCAACTTATTGTAGTACAAGTAGTGGAAAGTTTAATGTCAGTTCTCCGTCTTCACATACTAAACTCTCCAAGATTCTCAAAAATTGGCCTTATTTGCGTCTTAAAGAAGCTGCAAATGCTGCAAAAGGTTAATTTTTAAATATGATTTTATCAATTATTTTAAAGATGGAGAATTGGGAGCCGCTTGTAGGATTGAAATGGAACGTCGAAAACAAAACTATAAAAATTAGAAAGAAATTGGTTCATATAAGACCTTTACTTAAAGTTGATATGAAACTACATCATTTCACTGCTAATTTTAATTTCTATAACTGTGGATAGATTCTCATATATTATTTTTCAAAGATAAAAATTTCTCTCAATTTTAAAAATTTTAGTTAATGATTGATTTCTATTCAACTTGTTTTCTTCCTTTAAAAGAATTTCTATTTAATTTTTTCATTCCAAAAACGTAATTCTGCAAATTTGCACTTTTATTAAATTTAAATTAATTATTTACAAGGAATGAAAGGTAAACAAAGTTTTTTTTAATTAAAAATTATTCTTGGTGTTTATTCCTTTGCCTTTTTAGAAATATTACGTGTGTACTTTTTCTTCGGTAAGATGTTGGTAAACGCTGGCATAGTTAGCCTTAAGGTTGTCAAGGCGATGACTCTTCGAAACGTGAAGGTAAAGATTTTTTTGAATTTTTTTTGTTAAAGTTTTCTTTCCTTTTCAAAATATTTCTTAAAAAATTCTTTGTGAAATATGTCTTCATTTTTCAAATTATTAAAGTTTTTAAGCTTCAATTAATATTGCAACAACAAAAGAATCAACTGATGGCAGAAAGTGTTCGTGTTATTGTTCGGTGTAGACCATTAAATGAACGCGAATTACAATTGAATTCAACGGTAAAGTTAAATTAATTTTTAATTAGGGTCATGTTATACAGGAACCTCTTACCAAATTTTTTTATTTTGACGAGTTTCCTTGAGGAGATGAATTTTGGAGAAAAATCCATATTCGAAAGAATAATTGTGAAAAATGAAGATTCCTTTAAAATTAATTTTTAGGTATGTGTCGAGATGGATGAAGCTTTGGGCCAGGTATTTTCAAAATTAAAAAATTTTTTAAAGGTTCAAAAATGATTTAAAAATAAAATTTATTTTTCATAGTGTGCGCTAATTGATGGTACAAACCCACCCAAATTGTTCACTTTTGACAGTGTGTATTATTTGGACGCTACAGCTGAACAAATATACAATGATATTGTCTACCCTTTGGTTGAGGTTTGAAAATAATTATTACAAAATTATTTTTTTTAATTTTTAGAATGTCATAGAGGGCTATAATGGAACGGTATTTATTTTTCATTTTTTCTAAAAAATTAACTTTTTTGTATTTATTTTTTCAGGTGTTTGCTTATGGGCAGACCGGTTAATTTTGAAAATATTTCTAACAATAAGTTTCCTTAATATTTTAAAGGTTCTGGTAAAACCTATTCAATGCAGGGAGATCCACAAGTGCCTGTACAAAGAGGGATTATTCCACGGGCTTTTGAACATATTTTTGAATCTATCGCTACTACAGAGCATACTAAATTCCTTGTGCATGTTTCCTATTTAGAGGTTAGTTTTTTTTATTAAATCGGGGAAAACAAAATTAATTATAATTATTAAAATTTGAGAAGGGCGTCGAGGCATAAGCTTTTTCGAAATATTCATTCCTTCTAATTTTTTGAGCTTTTAAAAATTTTTTATTTTTTCATAAAATCATTTTTTTAAATTTTAGATTTACAATGAAGAAATTCGCGATTTATTGGGGGATAACAAAAAGAAATTGGAAGTTAAAGTAGGTTTTTAAAAACAATATAACAAATAGATGAGCTAATTAAAAAATATTTTTAATTATTTTCTAATTTTCATTTTAAGTGTAGGAACATCCAGAACAAGTATTTTTACAATATTTTTCTCATTTTTGATAATTAAATATTTTTACAAAAAGGGTGTTTATATAGCTGGATTGGGAATGCATATTTGCCATAATGTAGCAGGTTTGTTTATATTTTTTTTGAAATTGTAAAAATTAAAATTTAGATTGTGAAAGTTTAATGCAGACAGGTTTTAACAGTAGACATGTTGGTGCGACTTTAATGAACAAAGATTCGAGCAGGTTTTTTTTAATTTTCCAAGGATTTTCTTGAGAATACTTTTCCCTTTTTTAAGGTCACATTCAATATTCACAGTTTATGTAGAGGCGCTCTCCAAAAGTGGACATATTCGAATGGGAAAGTTAAATTTGGTTGATTTGGCTGGAAGCGAAAGACAGGCAAAGACGGGTGCTACAGGAGAACGTTTTAAAGGTTCAAAAAATTAAATCTTTATTTCAATTTAAAAATTATTTAGAAGCAACAAAAATCAACCTTTCACTTTCTGCTCTCGGAAACGTTATTTCTGCTCTAGTTGATGGCCGTTCTACACACATTCCTTATAGGGATTCTAAACTTACTAGATTACTTCAAGTATTTATTATATGATTAAATACAGAAAAATTTTTTTCAAAGGACTCCCTTGGAGGAAATACAAAAACAGTAATGATTGCTTGTATTTCTCCTTCAGATAATAATTTTGATGAAAGTTTATCGACTTTGCGTTATGCAAATAGAGCAAAGAATATTCGGGTAAATTGAAAAAAATTTTTAAAAATTATTTTAATTTTTAGAATAAACCGAGAATTAATGAAGATCCAAAAGACGCTTTACTTAGAGAATATCAGGCAGAAATTGAAAGGCTTAAAAGACTTGTTCAACAACCTCGTAAAATCTTGAAAAAATTATTTAAAATATTTTAAAAATATTTTTTAGAGGAAAAACCAGTTGTTCAAGCTAACGATGAATTTGAACGTGAAAGAAATAAATTGCGGGCAGAATTTGAAATTGCCATGCGTGAGCTTCGTTCAAGCTATGAAAATGAACAGAAAAACAAGGAAAAATTGCAAACTGATTTGGCAAAGTGATTTTTAATAAAATTAAAAATTCTATTTTGTAGAATAGGGGAACGAAGTTCTGTTTTAGTGGGGATAGTAACGAGAATCTGTTATAAAACGAGTGTGAAAATAAAGGCTAGAAAATAAAAAAATAATTTTTAGACTTCGAAAAGAATATGAAAAAGCTAGTGAGGAAATCGAACTGGCAAAAAGCAAAGAACAAAGTGCCGAAAGTGCCAAAAAACGAATTAAGCAATTAGAGCAACAATTAGTTGGAGGTGAACAAGCGGGGAATGAGGCACTTAAACAAAAACGAGTACGAAAAATTAAAGAGGCGGAAACAAAAATGCAAAGACTTGCTGGTTAATTAAAGAAATTTTTTAAATTTAATTAAAATTTATAGAAGCACTAGAAATGCACAAAGACAAAGAAGATCCTTTATTACATGTTTACCAAAATACCCAGGAAAAGTTGGATGCTTTAGTTAAAGAATATAATAAAGAAAGGTTGAAAGTCCAATCAATGGAAAAAGAATTGGAAGACTTATCAAATGAATTTGAATTGGATCGTTTAGATTATTTAGAAACAATACGTAGACAAGATCAACAATTGAAACTTTTTCAGCAAATACTTGAAAATACTGGTAAGGGAATAAAGAAAATTTTGAAAATTATTTTTCTAATTTTTAAAGCTGCTATTCGAAAAGAAAGTAATTATGCGAATTTGGAACGTGTAAAAAGAGAGGCTATTTGGGATGAAGAAGGTGAAAGGTGGACTTTGCCAGAGTTGAGTATTCGGCAACAAGCACTGCCAAATTCAGGTAAGAGGTTGTGGAATTATTGAAATTTGCAAAAGGGATCCGGTGATAGGAAAATAACAGAAAAATAGGAAAATTATGAGCGATAGTGTAACAATACCAACAAATCGAACTTTCTAATTATGTTCAGTTTTTTCTCGATATTTTCTCTATTTTCTTTAGTATCACCAGCTATTTCATCAGAATTAAACGGTAGTGGATCTGATTCAATAGCATCAAAATATAGTGGCTCCCCCATAGAAGATTCTGAATCAAAATTGAAGAAACGCCTTGATGAAAGTATGGATAATGATTTTGTACAAAAATTCTTTAAGGTAATTTTTTAAAATTTCTTTTTTAAATAATTCTTCATTTCTAGCCAATAACTCGACAAAACATTCTTGACAAATACAACCCTGAAAAACATAAAATGATTGGTATTGTGTAAAAAATATTTTACAGAAAAAATCTTTTTTTAGCAGAACAACGTAAAAACCAAATGTTAGTTAATGGAGTAGTTTACGCCGATGCAATTTATGACCAGTCCCAAAGGCATAAAAATGGAGGCACATCTCAAAATAATCCAGCGGCCAATCGACCTATTAGCGCTGCTCGTAAACCTCCACAAAGGCTTGAAGCGTTAAATGTTTCTAGAAATAAATCATTTCATTAAAGAAAAGAATTTTTAGAACTAATTCACGGGTATTCTATTGTATATATTTATAATAACGATTTTATTATACTCAATTTTATTATTACAATAGAATCATATTAATACCACTAAATCTCGAACATAATTTCGGGTTGAGAGGGAAAATTTTAGTTTTTTAACTTTTGGGGGACGGGGTTAGAAGGTCAGAACCCGTTGAGAGGTCAGAAGTGTCTGATTTAGAGTTCAGAGATGTCTAGACCTAGTTGAGATTTTTTTGTTTTATGGCCCGAAAATTTTGTTCTGGATTTGGGGTATTAATATGGTTATACATAGTATTGTATTTATAAATAATTAGTTTATTTTTTATATACTAATTTATTTACCTTAAACAAATTAATGTAAATAAATATTTTTAATCTTAAATGTTTTTTGAATTCTTTGAATTGTGTTTGATTAACAAAATTTTTATTTTAGTGCCTTTATTTATCTGACAATTTCCATTAGCGTTGAATTGGCCATAATATTTCACGCCGAAAGATCTTTCCGTAGCCCAACGTTAAGAGTGACGAGTGAAATATTATTTGTCGATTGTCTATTGGCGTGTAAAATATTTGCATTTTTTAAAGGAAATATTAAAAGTCTGGGCTTTAATTTCATTTTTTTTTTTTTAAATTATTTTTTAGTTTTTCGTGGAGGCAGAGATGTTGCCAAGGAATTTTCGCTACCTTCAATTGAATTTTCTTTCCTTAACAGCAATATTGTTAATTTCTATTTTATTTTGTGTAAATGCTCAAGAGGAGGAATGCCAAGGTTTTTTTTTTAATTTTTTTATTATAATTTTATTTGTTTTTAGTCTGTGAGGATGTTTTGAAAGATGTTATGGATAGAGTGGACTCTTCTGGTGAAAACGTCAATGATGAGCTTGTCCGTAAAAATCTATGGGATTATTGTTCTGAAGTTTATAATAAACGTGATTCAAAGAATTCTGATGAAGAAAGAAAGGATAAAATGGTGAGTAAATTATTTGAAGTTTTTTTTGTTGAAATTTTTAGTTCATTCCATCCAGATTTTTCTATTCGTCTATCCGAAAATACCCTCTTTCCCGGTTTTATTTGACTTCAACCATTTTCAAAATTTCCGCCTGACGTGCTGTGTAAACTCCGAGTAGTAACTCTAATGTCGACTCGCGTTTATGAAATGAAATTCCGTGAATATTAGCCCTTCCCCAACTTCTTTTAATTTTCATAAATTTGTTAAATATTTTTTAGTGTTTCTATATTGGTGCTCACAAGGATTCATCTGCCTCAATGATTGGAGATGCTGTTAAAACTCTTGCCTATAAGAAGCCTCCTCTTAAAGTTTGCAAAGATTTGAAGACAAAAGATGCTCAAATTTGTTCATTGAAATATGGTTTATTCATTAGATTTTTTATTTAAAAAATTAAAAAAATTTTTTTGTTTTAAAGACAAACCAATCGATTGGGATAGTTTGGATTTGGACAAAATGAGAGTTGGACAGTTGAGAGAGTTATTGCGCAAATTGGGTGATAGTTGCAAAGGTTGTGTTGAGAAAGTCGATTTTGTGCAACGAATTCGGGAATTAATGCCGAAGAAGGAAGCAAAAGAAGAACTTTAATTTTTTTTTGGATTTTTGGTCTTTCTCTTTTATTTATTTTGGTTTTTAAATGGGTTATTTTGTTTGGATATAATTTTTAGATTATATTTTACTTCACGATGCCCATTTGTTCTTTATTTACTTTTGATTTTGTTTTTTACCTTTATTGATTAGAGGATTGTATTCTATTTTGTGGAGTAACAAGAAAAACCGTTTTTTTGTTATAGGGAATCTTGGGGTTTTAATATTTGAGGAATTTTCTGATTATGTGCAAACCAAGGAACGAACCGTCACGATTCCCGAAAATCGGGGATTCCCGACGTCTTTTTGGTCGGGAATCCCGATTTCACGAAAATCGCGAATCTTGTTTTCTTGTCGGCTCGTTCCCTGGTGCAAACGTATAATTTATTCTTTTCCAAGCTCTTTAATCCTCTAAATTGTTTTCATTCTATATGGTTTGTTTGTGTAAAATTAGTTAAATCGCATTCTTTTTATTTATTATAAAATCGTTTCATTTTCGTATATTAACTAGTAAAGTTTAGAATTATTTACTAATATTAATTAGCATTTGACTCACGGGCAAAGACAGAAAATTTATTTCTTATGGCGCTGCCTAGACGTATAGCAAAAGAGACACAACGGTTGTTACAGGTTTTTATTTTCTTTTTTTTTGTAAGAATACACTGACTCTTGGGTGTAGTGAGGGTTCAGGAAGGTTATACATTTGTAAGGTTTTTGTCCAAAACTGCACCTAAACTTTAAGACGGTTGCAGCTTGTCCATGTATGACAACCTTGTACATAAAGCACGTATTCCCTTTTACTAAAAACCATTTAAGGATCCAGTTCCGGGTATTAGTGCAATTCCAGATGAAGCCAATGCTCGATACTTCCATGTTATTATTGCAGGACCAGATTCAAGTCCTTTTGCAGGTTTTTGATTCATTTTTTTCGCTAAATAAAATTTTTTAATATTTTGTTTTAAGGTGGTGTTTTCAAATTGGAACTGTTTTTACCAGAAGAATATCCTATGGCCGCTCCAAAAGTGCGCTTCATGACAAAGGTAATATAAGTAGATAGGGCTAATGTGAATCTTATTTGTTACTATTCGATTTTCTCAACGCATTTTTCGGTATCTCAAAAATTATATATAATTATGTTTATCTATTCGCGACTGAAGGAAACCCAAGGATTTTTCGGTTAGGTTTTTGGATACCCTAAAATTTTATTCGATAACCGAAATTTCTTAGCACCGTCAATAATTGTATATTTAATCATATTCACTTTAAAAGTAGAAAGGAAAGTTCTTAGAGATAATTAGATTTTTTAATGACAATTATTTACCATTTTTTAAAGATTTATCATCCAAATATTGACAAGCTTGGCCGGATTTGTCTCGACATTCTTAAAGGTTTACTTTTTTCCGCCAATTAACATTAAATAAAAATTATTAGACAAATGGTCACCAGCTTTGCAGATTCGTACTGTTCTCCTTTCTATACAAGCTTTGCTTTCAGCACCAAATCCTGATGATCCACTAGCTGCGTTAGTTTTTAATTTTTATTATGTTTTTTTAATAATTGTTTTATTCCGATGATCAAAATTATTTGGATTGAGGGTTTTCAATAATTATGAAGAGTTTTTTGACAAGGGGCATTTCTTACTCTTACTAGATTTTTTCTTAAAGAACCAGTAGGAAGTCGGGTTCTTTTTAATAATAATTCTTGTTGACAATTAATGTTCCCTAGGAATCCAACTCTAAATTCACAGGTCCATCCCAATTAAATTAATTTGTTTTGGTTATTTCATGTTAAATATTTTACTGACAGTTTATGTAAAAAAAATAATTTAAATAAATAATTTAGCGATGTTGCCGAGCAATGGAAAAACAATGAAGTAGAGGCTATTCACACAGCTCAGCAATGGACAAAACTTTATGCTAATGGAAGTAATTAAGAATAAGAAAAAATATAAATATGGATAATATTTTGGAATAACGAGGAGGGGAGTAAATTTAAAATAAAATTGAACATATTTCCAGGCAGAAACATTGGTAAAAATAAATTTAACGTTTTTTTTTGTTTTGGCTAAGAATTTAATTAAATTTTCGGAAAATTGCACTGATTCGATAAAAGAAATATTGAATCGGTTTAATTTTTAGAAAGAAATTAGAAATAGCTACCTGAAATTAAGGCTGCAGTCAAAACTAGAGCCAGGATCGAGACGAAATCGCAGTCAAAAATCTCGGTTAACGAGATCGAGTTTTCTTGAGATAACGATCTCGCTTCTCTTACGACCCTCCCAGTCCGGGCTCTATTATAATTTCAATGAAAATATAAAAATTCCCTCAGCTTTCCATTAAAATTTTTCTGACTTCTTTCCATGTCAGAAAGTAAAACGGATTTGCCTGGAACATTTTTAAATATTATAGTAAATATGGATGTTTGGTTTTGTACTTAATTGTCCTCACGCCCGTTGTATTTTATTCTCTAAAAAGTAATTTTAATGATGTTCTCCACTTAAAAATATTTTCGTATAAAATTGACATTTCTCTATAAGTATTGTTCAATCCCCCCTCCCCCTACCCCCATTTATTTGTTAATTTGATTGGGAATGTTTTCATGTAATTTCCTTTCTCTTTTCTTCTCATTGTAAATTACAAAAAGTGTTAAAAACCTGACAATATATATTACAAAGAACGTTTATAATTAAATAGTAAAAACGTAATAGAATATGTCTACAATATTTTCGGAAATTGCCGGTTACAAATGAGCGAGAAAAAAATATTAGCAAACAGGATTTTGGGTTTAAATAAAAAAAAGAGTTTGGAGAATTTCTTAAAAAGGGATCGGTAAATGAGAGAAATTTAATAAAAGGAAAAATATGTAATAAGGAAAAGTGCTTGTTATTATAAATGGATATTACGGAAAGTTTTTGGATGAGTTTGGAGAGAAAGAGTTTGATTTGTTTACTTTAAGCATTTTAGTCACAGAATTGACCAAAAATGGACTGAGATTACATCTTTCACTTTCTTTTAAAAGTAAAATTAGTTTTTTAATGAACTCTTGAATATTCCTATACTTTTACTACTATTTCTGAACGTTGATTCCTTTATCCCTTTACAATCAAATTTTCTTAAGTCCCTTGGTTTTCTTTCCTCGGCGTGGGGAAATAGGGATGCTTTTCAATTTTTACCAATTTCTTCTTCTCATTGACAATTAAATTAGCAAAAAGATTCGTTACTTTTTTTTGTTGTTGGCATAGCTTTAATTTATAAATATGTAATCCTTTTATTCGCTCAATCGAATAAAGAAGACAATAGACAAATAAAAATAAAATTCGTTCCTCGGATCAATCAACGGGGTGCGCTTTCACTCTTCTGCCATTTCCGTCTTTCTCCAAGCGAAAAACAATCGTCGAGACTGATAGCGATCTTTTTTGTTTTTTTTCATTCTCCAAATAAAAACGCGTCAGGATTGCTCCGGGCAAATTGCCGCGATCACCCCCCCCTCTATCCCCCAATAAAAATGCTTAAATGCTAAAAGTCGCCAAAACTTTGTTCCTCTCTTTTTGTCATCTCTTTAATTGAAAGTTGATATCTATGTATTTACAAATGATATTAAGCATGTAATTATTAGTTTTTCTTATTTTCTTCATCTAAATGTTTTTGGCGAATTTTTATAGATAAGAACTTTTAATTTAATTTTTCTTAATGAATTATAAGAAAAAATTATGTCTTTTTCCAAGGCTTGAACCTTTATCCATGTGGATTGTAGTTTTTGCTAATGGTCCCACCCAGGCCCGTAAGTTGAAAAAATTTTCTGGATGGGATCATTCTTGATCATTTTTAAAAACCCAGTTCTCTCATCCACTATCCCACAAAAGTAAACTCTCGTTAAAGGCGAGGTTTCTCCTTGAAACCCATAAATTTATCTTTGTAGATATTTCAAAATAAAATCTTTAAAAAAGGGTACTTTATTAATATCCCGCCCCCCACCCCTATTTGAGTCTCAGATTAATTTCCCTTCTTTTACTGTCAATCATTTTTCCTTCAAACATTGAAGGTAAAAGGTAAGTACTAGGAAGGAAAAATAGACGGCAACCGCAAAAAAGCATTTATAAGAAGGAAAATTGACCATTTCGAGGCAGGAAAAATAAAATGTAAAATTAATCTGAGACTCAAATAGGGGTGGGGGGCGGGATATTAATAAAGTACCTAAAAAAGAAGTAAATCATTAAAAAATTCATTTGCACTTTAATGCAAAAGAGATCATTCCAACAACATGAAGAATCACAACAGTGTAGTTCAAATATTTTACATTTTAATTGTAAAAGGCAAAAAAATAATAATTATGAGAGAAGGCAAACATCAAAAACTACGATTTTTAAAAATACAAAAATGTTGAAATTCCCTTTATTTTACAGTCTCTTGTCCTTTTTCATTTTAATTAGGCCAGGTTATTGAACTTTGAAAATTAAACTTATTAGGCAAAATACCCATTTTCTAGGTAATTCTTGTATGCCTGGCTATGAAAATGAGAGAGCCCGTTTGAGACAATATTTAGGCATTGAATGGAGGCCTAGAGGGTTGGAAAGGATGGATGATGGTATTTTAGATTATTTTAAATTTAAATGTTGTTATTTCTTATCAGAACAACAAGCTCGATTTTTGCGGCATTCAAGTGATTTAAATTGTGATTTCTCTAACCCAGACAAATGTACTGTGATTTTATATTTAAAATAAATTTAAAAATAATTTTTATAGGCAGATGGAGGAATCTTCGAAAACCTGGATTTGATACATTAGACTTTCATTTATTTAGGAAGGAGGATTATACTGAATTTCCGGCAAGTGAAAGACGATACTGTTTAAAATATAAAAATTTCTCGATTTTTCAGATGCTTCAGGTTAGGCCGGGTCCTTCAAGAGTGCGTGTAGGTGAGACGATTGATTACTGTTTAAAATATTCTTTTTAACCTCTAAAGACACACCTTTTCGTTATTAAACGCCTCTCTATTAAAATTTCTAGTAAAAAGAGTAAAAATTCTGGAAGAACTCCAAGTGGAGATTTATAAAATTAAAACGCTATATTATAGTTTTATAAAGCCCGGTTGAATATTTATTTAATTAGGTGATCAATTACTGCTTGTTGGAGATAAGAAAAGACAAGAACAAACAGCTATACTAATTAGTCATCCAATTAAATGTCAAAATACAACTGGAAAATTAACTTTTACGTCTGTACATCCATCGAAAATAAAATAATTTATTAAATTTTTTAAAGGTTTTGGGTTTATAATGGTGCTAGATTGGAGGTTATAATGCTTGAAGAACGAGATGAGGTATAAATAATTTTGTGGAATTTTGAGTTAATATTATAATAGTGGCACTAGTGTACATATCCATGATCCCATTTTTTCAAGTGTATTCTTCCAATTTCCCATTCCAATCCCAAGTTTGGAGAAGATGAGAAATAGGCCAACAGTGAATGTCACATTCGATATACGGGGTTACTCATTTTAGACTAGTATGATAATCTGATGTGAAATGAGACAGATATCCAAGCTCAATACTCAATATCGCCTGGGAAAAGCATTAAATCCTACAATATTTTTGAGTCGTATGCCGGATATCCGAATAAGTTTCCCTTCTGCCAATCTTCCTTCAATCATGATCTTCCTTACTGTTTGATAATTTTTCAGAGAGTCTGCCTTGTCTTTTTTTTATTTAAAAGTCAGGCTTTACTAACTACTATAATAAAATTAATTTTATTTTTCATAATTTTAGGGAAAATCTTTGCATATTTTACCTGAAAAGCCCCATATAGACTGTGGAACTGTCCATATAAACACTGAATGGTAAATGATTATTTTTTTATTTAAAAAATTCATTTTTCTTGTAGTACAGCAATACTTCCCCCTCTCGACCATCCTTTCCATATTGGACTTAGAGCTTATGATATGCGGAATACAGAGGGATCCTTTGTTTTATTAGATAATTTATTTTATGAAGCTGAATTTTGTAGAGTTTCGAGTGGGTTTTGAAGAGAATTTAATTTAAAATTTTTAATTTTTGTTTAGTTGATTTTGGACCAGACTTTCATTCTGAAAGGTGAAAAATTAATAAAAATTAATTATTTTGTAGACTCTTTTTTAAATAATATTTTTGGTTCTTCTAACCTTTTCCTTCCAAAACAAGCTTTTGTGGGTGGTCAAACAAGAGAAAGAAAAGGACAGGGTTTTTGTTTGTACGGATTTTTATTTTGGCCATACCCTATATTGGGTACTTAAAAATTCTTGGGTATTATTAACAATAAAATTGTCTTTAATTTTACTAGGCATTTACTGTAAAAATTGTATCGTTGCTCTATTTTTATTTAAAAAATAATTATTTTTAGGCTTATATCAAGTTCAACTAAAGGCGAACCTGTTGATAAACCTTCTTCTCTAACTTGTACAGAATTTGACGAAAATTGTAGGTGGAGAAATATGGGATATGGAGAACATGGGGTAAATAAATAAATAAAAGTCTAATTTTTATTTTTTTAAAAAAAGATTTGGCGTAGAGCTATTGGAATACTTCCCCCATTAATTCTTTTTAACGAAACTGGGACTGATATACAACCTAATTTACCTGCTGCTTTTTTATATATTGAGGAACAAACTGGTAAATATTTTTCTTTAAATGTTTATTTTAAGCTCACAAAGCTTTGTAAGCCTTGATTTTATCGAATCTAGTAACCTTGCTAAATGAGCACCTAGAACAATGAAATTTTGTGCTTTAATTAATAAAATGTTATTAACAATTCTAAAAATTTTAGAATTTTTTCATTTAATTTAAGTTATCGCCTGAAAAGTTAATGATTCTTTAAACATCTTTTGATATAAATTTAAATACTTTTAGATAAAGTTAAAAAAAACTTCTTTAGTAGTTAGATAATATCTACTTATAATTTTATTGTTATAAATGTAAGCTTTACAGGCTTCAATCAAATTCCTTATATTTTTAAAATTTTTCAAAATTAAAATTTAGATATGCCACAACATACAAACATAATTTCCTCAAAAGATTTACACGATGCAAGCACTTTAGAACTTAGTGATACAACAAAAGCTTTTCGAATGTTAGCTTCTGACCCAATAAAATGTCCGGGTTCTACAAATATTATTTTACAATTTAGGTAAAATTAATTGGAAAAAATTCAAAAAATTTCCTTCTTTTAAAAAAGAATTTGGTCAACAAAAGGAATTGAATTAAATTTGTGTTTATTTGAAAGACATTCAATGCAACAGATTGAAGGGAAATGTCAACAAGTACCTGTTGGTACATCCCCAGCAATTGTTCAACAACAATTTCAAACACCCCCTCAAAATACTGAATTTATGGTAAAAAATTTTATTTAAATAATTATTTTGTTAATTTAATATTGTTAATTAATGACAACTTCAAAATTCTTGGATATAAATTAGGGGTTAAATTAGATTTTTCAATCTAGGATAAAAATATTATTTTACAAATACATTATTATTTTAGAAGCAATATATAGTAAAATATAGTAAAGAAATTGTGATCGAAGAAGGAAAAGCCTTCCCATTTTTATAAATTTATAGGAAAAACTTGGAAAGGAAAAAAGGGGGACTGGAAACGACACTACATATTACCATTCTTTTCCCCGTATTTCTCGGAATTCTCGATTTCTAAAAAATTATTCAAGAACCAGGAGAAACCAAAAAAACTTTTTAATTTAATTTTCTTCTTTTAAACAGTTTGTATTCCAAGTTCAAAACGTCAACAAAGATTTTGATAACTTTGTTTTATTAGATGATATTGAAATGGTTACAGATCATTCCTCGGCTTATTGTGGCCAATTAGGTGCTGATATTGCTGCACATAAGGGATGGTTATCTGATGGAGGGATGTTTACTGCCCAAATGCTTAATACTCTTTTAAATAGGCCAATACATTCTGCTAAGGTAAAAAGAAGGAAGGAATGAGAGAGAGGAAATAATGGTCTTTATCCGAAGGAAATAAAATTGTTTTTAGGGGATTAGTTTGAGACAATAGAAATTTTTTTGAAAATCTAAAAACAATTTTATGATGCAACTTTTGTTGATAAAAAATGAATTTAAAAATGAGGTCCTCTCCAGATATGGAATTAAAAAAATTTTTTTATAAAAAATTTCTATTTTTGAGGACTTAACTTGTGATTTCTCCAAACGTGCATTAAATTGTCAATGGGCCAATCTAGAAAAATTAACTGATGGAATGTCTCAGTGGGAAATTGGGATTTTAAGTAGTGCTAAAAATACAAAAACGAGCGAAGATATTCTTATTCCAGGTAATTGTTAAAGAAAAATATTTTCAAAAAATATTAATTTAGTTGGAGATGTAGCTTTAGCTCGCCTCGATTCTCATAATAAATCTGCAATACTCTTATCTGAACGTATTCTCTGTACACTTCCCTCTTTAACCAATACAAATGGAAATAGTGGAACTTTATCTTTTCGAAGTTGGGGGAGTGGAAATGGAATCAAATTGAATGTTTGTATTATTAGAGCAGATTCCTTAGAAGTTTTGGATTGCCAAAATGTTGGGGGAAATGATGGAGAAAGAAAATTGACTGAAGAAGGGGATGAGGTAGTGAACTGGAATTTTCTTTTAAAAATTTTTGTTGACAGATTCTGGTGGAAGTTCCTCGATTAGATGAACCTATCCGCCTTGCTCTCCGAGCTGAAACTATTGGTGAGAATGGTGGAGGGCTTATTGCTATAGATGATTTGAAATTTCAGGCAATATATTTTTGTTAGTTAAATGATTGGAAATTCTGTTTAGGGTGAAATCTGTCCATCATTAAATAATATTGCCTTTGGAGTCAAGAACAGTTTGAGAGGAAGTAGTGGATTTACACACAAAGGAGAAAGAATTGTTTCTCAACAAAACAGAGCATTTAATGATGGAGAAAAACCACAAGATTTTCATGAAATACCTGATGAAAGTGAGTTCTATTAAACTTGCGGGAAGGGGTTTTCCGCAGGAATTTGTCAGTTTTTAAGAAAAAGAACTAGTGATTTTTCAGAAATTTAAATTTGGAGACAATAGAGGGACTAATTAGAGTCCTTTATCCCTTTTTAAAATTTTTTTTAGATGTCTGCCGTCTCTTAAAATGTGATTTTGAACGTGATGGAAGTATGTGCCTGTATACCTCTAGTCGAGTTGCTGCTTCTGTTTCAATGTTCCGTGCTTATAACAACAGTGCATTTACTGTTCTATTTACTCGAAGTAAAGTAGCAATATTAGAATCTCCAATATTCCATTTAAATACACCTGCAAGGCTACATTTTGATTATTTTGTTAGTAAAGGACCAGCAAAGTTACATTTTTGTCAAGATAGTGTAATGCGTGATCTTTCTTCGTGTTTTATAATTTCCGCGGAGGGAGAGACTTTTGGGTGGAAACATGATTTTATTGAGGTATTTAGTTGATTTGAATCAAATCCTTTGGGTACGCCCTCCTTTTTGTGGTTTTACTTATAACTGAAATTAACGGATAAAGTCTCAGTCCTAACGACACTATATTATTGTATTTTTTGTTTCCTCTGATTGACATAATATTATTAGAGACCGGAATTTCGTACCTTACCGTATTACATTACTGATCGATTAACTTTAAAATTTTGTCGGGCGGTTTTCCGTACTCTACTTATCAATACAGAATACCGATAAATACCGAAAATAAGACAGTAGTTCGATACAGTCCGATCTCGAAATATTAACATAATTATCATAAACTCGAAAGCTTCTACACAGAATAATTAAATACTGTTAATTACTATTCTTAATTAAAATTCTAATAATATTTTTTTAATTTTTAAAGGTATTGCCAACAGATCGAAAACTTTATTTAATTGCCAGACTAGATGGCAAGGGCAGGGCAAATGTACAGATTGATAATTTGGAATTAACTGATATAATGGATCACAGCATTTGCTGAATATTAAGAAATATAAAATAATTAGCCGGTTTTATGATAGCTCAAATTAATTTTAAAAACGGGTCTTTTTTTGTAATCTAATATTTGTATATTTTTTATTTTGATTTTTAAATAAATTTATTTTCTAAAATTTGCATTAATTTAAAAATAAAATTCTATAAATATTTACAGACATTTTTTTGTTTTTCTAAAAACAGGTTTATATTAATTTAAAAATTAAAAAAATATCTGGGAAAAAATAAAGATTTAAAGATAAATTTAATGATTGATTGACTGACATGCATTTCTTCATTTCAAAAATAATTTAATTAAAAATTAGTTTATAAATTAACGATGCGATAAACACAAATTAAAAAACAAATTTTTACGAGAATAAAACGGTTCTAAAAATACATATTTTTCCATTCCACATAAGTACTATATCATATTCACGTTAGTGACAGATTTTTTCTGTAATTTTGGTTCATTCTCTCCCAATATGACACTAACTCTTACTACGATGTCGGGCTAGTGGGATCAGACATTAGACTGTTAGGTTTGTCGGTCCTTGGAAAATCTTCGGATATCTGTCAGATTTTTTCTGTATTTTTGGTTTATTCTCTCCAGGGCTGCACGCAATTGCGGATTGCGATTTGCGGAATCGTTTTCGATTGCGTGCTGCCCTGCTGTCAACCCAATCCTATCTCTGTCATATTTTTAATGTTAAAGTCCATTTTATTAAAAAGATGCTTCCCCTTTTTAATTCTTATAATATACATATTTTATACATGTATTTTGCAGCTGTGCCCATTTTAGCTGTCAATATCGTCTTTTTTAAATAAAGAAAATTTCCTTCTCCCTCATTTCCCAATAAATACATACACAAAAGGATTTTCTCTCTTAAATTAGCAATTGTTTAGTGGAAGCCGAAGAAGAAGAAGAACTGTTTTTGGTATATAACAAAAACCTTTTCCGCCACAGATTTCTCGTAAAAATACTAAAAATAGGGGAGAAAATAGCGAAAAGGGGAAAGGGAGAATATTCTAAAGTAAAAATGTGTACAAGTAGCTAGGCAAAAATAGGGCAAAATAAAGGAAGGAAAGGGTAAAAAGCGCTAAAGGGGGACACAAAATCGATCTTTTTAAAGCTTAAAATGTGAGTAGCCACAAACCAATGTTAAGAATTTTTTTATATTTTTACTATTATTTAGCCATGCCCTTTATTCTTCAAATTGAAAAGCTGCTTCTAAACATTTTAATTTTTATTTTAATTGTATGTATTATTAAAAGGGATGTTTAGGTGGCACACATTTATAAATTTCTTATTTTCAGGCACCTAGAACCGTAAAATTTCGTTTAAATTTTTTTCAGTTTTGTTTAATTGAAGCTAATATACTTTTTTCCCCACTATAGTTGAGAACACAAAAAACATTTTTTGAACATTTTGATATTTGATCTTTTACTTGAAAAGATTGATCTTTTATTTCTTTCAATAGGCCCTCATTTACTAAAAAATCTGATATTTTTAGAGAGGTTTCACCTAAACTTCCAAGCTTTTTTCGAACTTAGGTGCTTATTTGGAAGATTTTTTAAAGACAACTTTTCTCCCAACATTCTCCCTTCCATTCAAAATTTTTAAATTTTTAAAATAATTTTTTTAAGAAAAAAAAATAATTTTAGGACTCAATCTAACCATCATTATTTGTTTAAAAATTTGTCTTTTCCCAAATGGCCTTGAAATGCTGCCTGTGTTCTTCTCTCAATACTAGGCCCACATTTTTGTTTTATCCCTCAGTCAATAGCCCATTCTCCCTCATTCTTCATTCACTTTCCTTCCTCTACATATTTTTGTTATTTTCTATATACACTTGCAGTTGCATTCAATAAATATTTTGAAATATACGAAAAATGTAAGCATTTTTCTTGTCATTTTCATGACAGGAAATATACAATTTTATAATTATTTTTTCTTCTAAAAAAGAATGATTAATTTCTTTTTTGGCCGATAATTGTTTAAAAATAATTGTTAAATAATTTATTTATTTATTTTTCAAAGCTTTTTAAAAATGTTTTAATATTTTACCCTAAAAATTATTAGATAATTACTTTAAGTTTTTAAGCTGTTCAAGGCAAATTTGTCCTTGATTACGGTATACGCTGACATAAATCACTAACTGATATTAATTTAAAAAGTATTATCATTGAATATATTTTCACAAAATTTCTTTGTTGTACTAGATTGACTTTTGTATAATCCTTAAATTTATTTTTAAAATATAAATTAGAAAATCGTTGAATTGTCCAAACTAAATTGTCCCCTTCACAAATTTTCAAAAATGTTTTAATTCATTTAAACTTTAATTTTTAAATAATTTTTTTAATTTTAAATTTTATCAGATGAAAATAATAATATAAATTAATAAAAATTAAAAAAAAATTAAAATCGATCGAAAATGACTATTGACAGTGCATCAGGAGAGCAGGAACAGTCTTCTGAACAACCCCCACAACCTGCCAAGGTTTACATAGGGAAATTTTTATTTTGAAAATAATTTTAATTTTAAAAATTCGAAAAAAATGTTTGGAAAGATTAAAAAAATTATTTAAATATTTTTGGAAAATTTTAAAATAATTTCCTTGGAATTTAAAAAATATACGTCCAAAATTCCAAAAATTCCCCCATAAATAATTTTTAAATCTACTGAAAAAAATTCTCTTTAAAAATTAATTTAAATCCTTAAAAAATCAAAATCTATTCTTAAATTTCCCCAAAAAACAGCCAATTCGAAATGATCAAAATGCAATGTTTTTGCGAGCTGCCCGTGCAGGCAATTTAGAAAATGTCCTCGATTTTCTCCGTACAGGTGTAGATATAAATACTTGCAATTCTAATGGATTAAATGCTTTGCATTTGGCATCGAAAGAGGGGCATAATGAAGTTGTTAGAGAATTATTGAGAAGAGGAGCCGTTGTTGATGCGAGTACGAGAAAGGGAAATACTGCTTTACATATAGCTTCTTTGGCTGGTAAAATAATGATAAAAATTTAGAAAATATGTGGGGGTGAGGGGGGGGGTATTTAATTAAATAAATCAGTCCTCCCCGTCCATCTAATCAAATAAAACCACCTTAAAAAGTGCCAGTCCGCAAGTTTCTTTACTGTCCGCAAGTGACATTCGTAATTTATAAGAGTTCATTTTATCGATGGAAGTTTTTAATAGGAAGGATAGATATTACAATTATTCCCTCTGAAATTATAAAGAATATTACATTTATCCCCTCCAGAAGAACGATTTAAAAAATTTTAATGGACTGTTAATAGGAATTACAATATTTGTATTTTAATTTCCACCTACATATAAATCCACATTCTTACGGATTTTGAAAAAAAATTGTTTAATGCAAAATCTGTTAATTTAAACAGGTCAAGATATAATTGTAACAATTTTGGTTGAACACGGTGCTAATGTTAATGCCCAATCATTAAATGGATTTACTCCTCTATATATGTCTGCACAAGAAAACCATGAAGTTGTTGTTCGTTATTTGCTTGCACATGGTGCTAATCAGGCACTCGCCACAGAAGTAAATTAATTTATTTAAATCTTGTTCAAATTTGATTAAGGAATAAATTAGGAAGGAATTAAAAATGTTAGGATAGATAACTCTAGTCTTGAAATTTTTTTCATTTCTAGGATGGTTTCACTCCTTTGGCTGTTGCTCTTCAACAAGGGCATGATCGAATTGTTGCTCTTCTATTAGTATTTCTAATATAAAAAATTCATTATTTTTAAAAATTTTAAAGGAAAATGACAATACAAGTAAAGTAAAACTTCCAGCATTACACATTGCTGCTAAAAAAGATGGTTGGGTTGTTTAAATAAATATTCAGTCCTTATTTAAATTTAGATACTCGAGCAGCTTCTTTACTTTTACAAAATGAACAAAATCCAAATGTAAAAACAAATTATTTTTTTGGGAAATATAATTATTTAGGTAACTTCAAAAAGTGGATTTACTCCTTTACATATTGCTGCACATTATGGAAATGCAGGTAATTAAAAAATTACTTGTACTAACTCTCTTATGGTCTGACACCTCTTGGAATATAGCTTTCCTTAAGTCTATCAAATATCTCGCTATCCCATCCTCTTAACTCGACGTCCGGAATTAAAATTTCATCGGGTTCCCGATTTACTTTTCAACATACAATGATCACATTTCTGTCAGTTAGATTATTACTTGACTTAATGTTAAAAATAAGGTATCACTTTGTAAGAATATAATTAAGGTTAACTCTCTCTCTCTCCTTCAAATCATCTTAACAAAAACTTTTAAAAATTAACAAAAAATTTTATCAAGAAAAAATAATTCATAAAATTTTCGAAAAATACATAACTTTAAAACAAAAATTTTAATAAAATTCTTTCAAAACAAAATGTTTCGAAATATCATAAATAAAAGGAATTTTCTCCAAATTATTTCCAAAGTTTGCTTCTACTGAACAACTTTGTAATACAACATATGGGTCGTAACATTCAGAATTATCTTTTAATAGTAGAGCTTTCCCTTAACAATTAAATTTAAAAATATTATTTATTCAATTCTATTTTTACCAATTTGTTTCCCATTTTGCGTGAAGAAAATATATGGAAATTCTTCGGTATTAGTTGGAGGATAAATTAATCCACACCCAAAAACATCATTATCATTCCAAGAAAATGTTGAAAGTTTAAATTCTTCTTCTTTTTCATTTATAATTACACACTTCTTTGCAACAAATCTAAACCACTCATTGTTAGTATTACAAAGACCAATAACCATCCAACAATTATTTAATTCTCTTTCCATTTTACATTTAATTTCAAAATAAAATAAAGAATAATTGAAACTATCTTGAGGGTTTTTGAATGAATTTTCAGCATGAACAATAACATCAATATCTTTACCTAAAATATTTACAAAAAATAATTCCTAACTTTAAATCAACCTTTCCCTTCCACACAATTAATATATTTTATATTTCCATCATTAATTAAATTAATAAATCCATTTCCCTCAATGCAATTACCAGTTGGTTTATTTGTATTTATACATTTATTTTCACAACATTTAAAGCTTTTATCAATATATTTCCATTTATTTTTAATTTCAACAAAATTCTTAATAAAAAATTATTTATTTTTACTTATATTTAATTAAACTAACCACTAATTTATAATTAACATTATTTAATTTTTCCAATTTAAGATCAGACTCGAGTTTTTGATTTTTCTAAAATTATATATTAAAAATATTACATATTTAATTTCCAAACTTCTTTCATTTCTTTTAATTCATTTTCAAGAATTTTCTTTTCAAGTTTGAAATTCTTTTCCTTCTCTTCCATAAATTTAGTTTGAAGGTCGATAAAATTATTTTGAAGTTTTATCAAATAATTGCTTTGGTTTAACTTAAATTATTTAAATTTATTTTTAAATTATTTCAAAAATTACTTTTGATTCCAAATCAGAATTTGACGATCCTTCTCCATCCATTTTCAGAATTTAATTGAAATATTTTAAAGTAACAATTTAACTGTTAAAGTATAAAATACTAAAATTAAATAAATTATTTAAAATAATAATTAAGACTAATTTACAAAAAAAAATTAAAAAATTAATTTAAATATGTATTATAGATAAGGTGCGAAATTATATGGAAATCCATATTTTTTCCCCGGATTGCTTGGGGTATGAAACACACAAAAAACACACTTTCCGACCTGGTTACTTTCAAAAATGAGGACATTCATTTCCATATTTCCCATTGAGCCATTTTTAAGAGATTTTTACCATTTTTGGGCAAAAATAAACAAAAAAATAAAAAATGCCAATAAGGGCAAAAAACACATCATATCAATACCATATAATGCCAATATCTATAATGCCAATAAGGTAAAGCCACATAACGCCAATAAGGCTGGAATCATATTTTTCTAAAGGGTAAAAAAATCATTGAACTTTGCCAAAAGTCTTTTGGGTCACCTTGTATAAGCCGTAGAACGGCGCCGTCAACCCTACTTATAATTAAGGGGTAACTTTAATAATATCCTGTTTGTAGCCCTATTAGTAGCTTACTAAATTAACAAAAACGTCTTAATAAGTGAGGACAAATATTTAAAAAATATAGATCTTCTAAAAATTTAATTTTATTATTTTTAAAAAATAATTTTAGATATTGCCCAATTGTTAATCGAAAAAGGTGCAAATGTTAATTTTCAAGCTAGACATAATATTAGGTAAAATTCAAAATTGAAAAACCAATTTTAATACATATTTAATTTTTCTAGTCCACTTCACGTAGCTGCTAAATGGGGAAGGGTTAAATTGTGTGAATTAGTTTTGAATAAAGGAGCTATAATAGATTGTAGAACGAGAGATTTATTAACTCCATTACATTGTGCAGCGAGGTCTGGACATGATAGTGTTGTTGAGGTTTTGATTGAAAGAGGAGCTCCGATTGCTGCAAAAACTAAAAACGGATTGGCACCTTTACATATGGCTGCACAGGGAGATCATGTAAGAAGAGGGGGGAGGAGGGGGGGAGTACTAAATAAAATTTGAGAAATTTAAAAGATATGAATTTCAAATAAATTAAATTGATATTTAAAATTGTTTTTGAAAACTTTTTGAAAATCAGAATTGTTTTTAAACTTACTCAAAAAATATAAACATGAAAAGTAACCCAAAATTTCATGCAAATTTTAAAAAATCACAACTTGATCATTATATTTTAATCCAATATCAATATAAATTTCTCATTAATTTTCTAGTTTGATTGTGCACGTATTCTCCTCTATCACAAAGCAAATGTAGATGAAGTCACGGTTGATTATTTAACACCTTTACATGTTGCTGCTCATTGTGGGCATGTTAGTGTAGCTAAATTACTTTTGGATAGACAGGCTGATCCAAATGCTAGAGCTCTTAATGGGTAAATTTTTTTGGATTTTTTAAAAAAGCATGTGAGAGAGTAAATATTCTGAGTTTATTGTCGGGACAGTTTTCAATCCCTTTTTCCTTTTCACTCTGCTTTATGAAAGGAATACATAAATTTATAGTTGATTCCTTTTTTGTCTGAAGTTGATAGAGGAATATAACTGATAGATTTAGATTATGCCTAATCTATCCCACATATATTCCTGATATAGACCAGATATGTGGATATAATTAAATAAATATTTTTAAAGATTTACTCCTTTACACATTGCTTGTAAAAAGAATAGAATTAAAGTTGTTGAACTTTTATTAAAATACCATGCAAGTGTTGGGGCCACAACAGAATCTGGCCTTTCACCTTTACATGTTGCTTCATTTATGGGATGCATTAATATTGTTATTTTCCTCATTCAACAGGTATTTTTGAGAATAAAAAATCAAATCAAAAAAGTCTACATTGAAAGTTGAGGACATAAAATTAAGAAATAAGTTCCTCGAGAATCCTTTTCGTAGTTGTATATTTCAAGACTCTAATGACCTCATTCGACATACACCTAAAATGTCAAGTGTATTGACTTGAGTAGAGTAACTTACTCTGTGCTCTCTAACTTTAATAGATTTAATTAAATTAATAATTTAATTTTTAATTAATTTTAAAGGGTGCCAATGTTGATTGTGAAACAGTTAGAGGAGAAACTCCTTTACATTTGGCTGCTAGAGCAAATCAAACTGTAAAAAAATATTTTAATATTTACCAGATTAATTCTTTAAGGATATTGTTCGCGTACTTGTACGGAATAAAGCAAATGTAGATGCTCAAGCTAGGGAATTACAAACTCCTTTACATATTGCTGGTTGGAAAATTTTGTTTTTTAAAAAGTCTAAAAAAATCTTTTTGTAGCACGTCTTGGTAATTCCGACATTGCTTTAATCCTTTTAAATGCTCATGCTAATCCAAATGCTGCTACTAGAGATCAATACACGCCTTTACATATTGCGGTAGTAGAGAATATTTTTTTAATTTTCTTGGCCTCCAACTTCTCAACAATTTTAATAAAAAAATTTTTTAACAAAAAGTTTTTAGGCTTTGAATGAGGAATAAGATAGTTTTAGTTAGAGTAAGGCAAGGAGGGGCAAATTTTTACCCGAGGAGATTCCGTAGATGAGGGTTGAGTGTACTCTAGTTTCTGGATAATTTTCTATTTATCCGTTCATCCATAAATATACTTAAATATTTTTTAAAGGCAAAAGAAGGCCAAGAAGAAGTTGTTCAACTTTTACTTGATAAAAAAGCAAACAAACAATTATTAACCAAAAAAGGATTTTCTCCATTACATTTAGCTGCTAAATATGGAAATTATGGAGTTGTTAAACTTTTGTTAGAAAAAGGAACTCCAATAGATATTGAGGGGAAAAATCAAGTAACTCCATTACATGTTGCTGCACATTATAATAATGAAAAGGTAAAAATAAATGAATGATTGTTTTTTGAGAGAAAAATATTGTAATTGGGAGTGTTTTAATTTAATGAACAGATTTACGTAAAAAATTAAGTTATTTGTCAAGCCTAAAGATAGTTTTTGTATAATTTCTCCAAAAATATCATCTACTTAATTTTCTTATAATATTTTAAAATTATAATTTTAAGGTTGCACAGCTTCTACTTGAACGTATGTTTATTTTTTTGACTTTTATAATTAATAAAATATTTTAAGATGGTGCTAGAGCGCAGGCTTGTGCCAAGAATGGTTATACTCCTTTACATATTGCTGCTAAAAAGAATCAGGTAGAACGAATATTATTTTTAGACTCTCTTTATTAGCGACTCTTTTATTAACAACAATTAGCTTTCCCTTTTAAAATAAAATCCGTTTTAATATTCAAAATATCCACGTCATTATTTACTTTCTTTCCCTTCGAGTCGCTACTAATAAAAGTTTTTTAAATTATTTTAACAAATTTTAAAATTAAAAGATGGAAATAGCCCAATCTTTGCTTGCTTACCGTGCTGATCCTAATGCAGAAAGCAGAGCTGGATTTACTCCTTTACATTTAGCCTCAGATGAGGGGCACATTCAAATGGTTGCTTTATTAGTTGAAAAAGGATCGAAAGTAAAAATTGAATTTTGATTGATTAAATTTAAATTAAAAATAAAGGTAAATGCTAAAGCCAAAAATGGATTAACTCCAATGCATTTATGTGCACAAGAGGATAGAGTAGATGTTGCAGAACAGCTCTTTCAATGTGAAGCTGATGTTAATTCTAAAACTAATGCTGGGTAATAGAGTTTTTAATTAATTATCTCGCTTCAGTTACTTTGGGGTTGTTACTCGAATTTTGGTAAAGATTAGGTATTCTCCTCATTTCCAAAAATAAGGGATAGAAGAGTGTTTGTGTTGGTCCCGTGTTATAAATAATACTCAGAACCTTCAAAAATTTTATAATATTCTTTAAAGCAGCCCCCTTCCCCTCGATAGTAACCCCCCCCCCCCCAATTCTCCTCTCTCCCCAATAATTCATTTCCTTCTAAAGATATACTCCACTTCATGTTGCCTGCCATTTTGGACAATTAGCAATGGTTAAATGGCTAGTTGAACATGGGGCTGTTATTAATGCCGAAACTAGAGCTAATTATACAGCTTTACATCAAGCTGCACAGCAAGGTGCCTTTTTAATCGTTCAGAATTTTTATATTTAAATTTCTTCAGGTCATAATCACGTCGTTCGTTATTTACTCGAAAATGGTGCTTCTCCAAATATAAAAACTAATGTAAAACATGAAATTCTTTAAAAAATAATTTTAATTTTATTTTTTTAAAGTCTGGACAAACACCTCTTTCAATTGCCCAACGTTTAGGTTATGTTTCTGTTGTAGAAACACTAAAAACTGTTACTGAAACAACGGTTAAAGATCAATTAAAAATATTTAAAATAAAAATTTTCATTTCTCTAAAGGTTATTACCGAAACAACAACAATAACTGATGAACGTTATAAACCTCAAAATCCTGAGGCTATGAATGAAACGTAAATTTTATTTTTTTTTAAATTTTTATAGAAAATGTGTGAAAATTAATGCTTGCGTTCACTTTTAATGCCAAAATTTAAAAATTTTTAAAATTATAAAGAAATTATTTTCTATATCTATTATATGAATTTATTTTCTAATCCTCTCTATCCTAATATTCTGATTAATTGACTAAATATAACTCGTTATATTTGAAAGAATGGCCAAAGAATTTTTAGAATGAATAATTTTGGAAGTTTTCTCACTCAAATTTCCTCACTCAAAGATATGTGTTTTAGAAAGATATTTTATTAGTAAATTAATACCCTGATTAAGTTTCATACTGCTCATAAGCACTTGTATATATTTTTCTTTTCCTTTTTTAATTCTGTTCACTTTAGCCAACTTAAAGTTTTAGTCAAAATAATTTTTAATTGAAGGTGTTTGGGGGCATTAAATAAATATTTTTACTAAAAACATTTCTATAATCCTTTTAAGCTTTTAGATTTATTTTTAGAATATTTTTACTTAATAATTCAAATACAGAATGTATGTACTACATAGTCTCTCTTTACTTGTTTCTTAAAAAATATTCTGACAAAAAAATAAAATAAAAATATTTTTGTCAAATAAATATACTAAATTCTTCTTTTTTTTCACCTAATCAATCTTTTTTCTTTTTATTTTTCTAGCAAACAATTAGTTAAACAAAAAAATTTTTAAAAAAGTGTTGCGGGGGGGGGGGGGGTTAATTCTCGCTCAATATTTTATTTGCTACTTTTTACACTTTTTTAATCTCTTTGCGCAATAATTTATTTTTTTTCTTTAAAAAATTCAGGGCAAATTTTGACCTTATTTTTAATTAAAAAATAAATTTAAAATGAAAATAATTAAAAAGCTTAGGATATTTTCTGATTCGGAAGAAGAAGCTGATGATCATCAAGTTGCTGCTGCCGAGCATGCTAGAGACTTTAATGAGTCTATAACTCAAGTAATAATTTTATTCTTATTCCAGTTAAATCTCTATCTAAGCTAACCCCATCATTATATATAGATATATATTTTATATATATATATTTTTCATAAAGCTCGGAAAATATATTTTTAAAATAAGAACAAAATCCCCAGACCTGATCAGAAAATTTTGGAAATATTAACTCTTCTGATCCAGAATCTGCTAACAGCTGGAATGTTTAAAATAATTTAAAATTCGGTACTTTTCGGTTATGAGGTTACACATTTATGAATTTTAAAAAGTTCTCAAAATGGTCAATATATCATATAAGTATAGGGTAGAAAAAGGTGCTGAGTCGAACGGTACCAATCTTTTTTCAAGAAGATTCTTGTGGACCGAGATATAGGGCTCGAAATGGTCAAAAATCATAGGGATTCCATAGGTAAGGAGCTAAAACAAATGATCATAGCTTTGTCCAAACTTGTCAAATCGCGTTGATTTATTTGTCATTCGACTCAGCTCGAGGAGCTCTTTCGAATGAGTTATCATTCAAAAAATGGAATTTTTCACCCCAAAAATGAGCTTACTACTCCCCATGGTTTTTGACCATCTCAAGCCCTGTATCTCGGTCCACGAGAATCTCCGTGAAAAAAGATTGGTACCGTTCGACTCAGCACCTTTTTTTACCCTATACTTATATGATATATTGACCATTTTGAGAACTTTTTAAAATTTGTAAATGTGTAACCTCATAACCGAAAAGTACCTAAAATTCTATTCAATGGAGACTTAAAATGGGAAAAAAAAATTATTTGCTAACATAAGAAAACTAACAATAGGAGGATGTATTTTGAGGAGGCTTTAATTTCCTCTTATCTTTTTTATCATTTCCAAAAAAATCAAATGTATTTTTTCAAAGGGTTTACGTGATTCTGCAGTCGTTCATTTAATTCATACTGGAGAACAACAACTAAGCAAAAGTTCTTCCCCTTTTGAAACAGATGCTGATTTAGAAGCTATAATTAAAAGAGCACAAAATGTCCCCATTTCTACAGCCTTTCCAGACCCGAGCTTTTTGGAAAATGGACATGATGATAATATTGCATTAAACAGAAATGAATTAATTCAACCTAGGTAAGGAAGGAAACGGAAGAACTTTTAAATTTTAAACAAAAAATATTTTTTGGAAGAGTATTTTTAAAAAATTAATTTTTAGCAAATTATTCATGAAAACGTGGGTTTAAAAAATATATTAAGTGGTTTGTCAATAAGTATTGGCTATTTTTTTGTGTGTGTTTTTAGTGATTGGTGTTTTAAATTGAATTTTTGATTTAAATTCCTTCTATAAGTATCAGTGGTTATATTCGGAATAATCAAGCACTCTTATCAATCTTATTTGGGTTTTATGATTTTATGGGCACTTTTCTGTGGCTTATTTTAATTAAACAAATTTTTGTATATTCCTGAGATCTAGCCTATCCTATACCCAATCCAAGAAGGCTTGAATTCATTTTCAAGTCATTAAACTTTTTGATTTTTGGAACCTTTACCTCACATCATTATCAACCATTCTTTATAATAATCTCATTAAAGTTTTTATATTTTCCATTTTTTTGTGATTTGTTTTTACTCTTTTTTAAAATTCTTCTCTATAATACTTTTAAAATTTTAACATTCCTTCTTTCAGTTTCCTCATTTCCTTCATGGTAGATGCACGTGGTGGTGCAATGAGGGGTTGCCGACATTCGGGTGTTCGTGTAATAATTCCTCCTCGTAAAGCAGAAGCTCCAACTCGAATAACTTGTCGTTATTTGAAAAAAGTATTTTTTATGTAGAAATTCCCAAAAAAATTTAATTTTTAAAGGAAAAATTGCCAGTTCCTCTTCGTTTAAGTGAAGGAGAAGCTTTAGCCTCTCGTATACTTGAAATGGGCCCGGCAGGTGCCAAATTTCTCGGACCTGTAATTCTTGAAGTTCCACACTTTGCTTCTCTCAGAGGGCGTGAAAGAGAAATTGTAAAGAATTTTTTGATTTTTTTTAGAAATATTTCTTCTCTTTTTTGTAGGTAATTCTTCGCTCAGATGACGGAAAATTTTGGAAGGAGCACCAATTAGAGGCAACTGAAGATGCTGTTCAGGCATGAATTTTTTTGAAGAAAATATTTAAAAATACCGCTTTTAGGAAGTTTTAAATGAATCTTTTGATGCTCAAGAATTACAACAATTGGATGAATTACACACTTCAAGAATTACTAGAATTTTAACTAATGATTTTCCAATGTATTTTGCTGTTGTTACTCGTGTTAGACAAGAAGTGGGTTTTTAAAATTTAAAAACTATTAGGCCTTTACTGTTTTTAATTTTTATGTTTGTTATTTTTACTATGTTTCTCCTCGAGAACACGAGGATATAATATTCATAGTTAGGGTTAGGAAATCTTTGAATATCTAGATCCTTCAACTGTATTATACTTATAACTACATTTTAACGTTTTAAAGGGCAATTATAACTTATAATGTACAACACTAAGCACTTTAATATGATAAAACCCCGAATTAATTAACAATTTTTGATTGGTTTATACATGGACTCCTTTTAATAATAAGTAGATCCTTCATTACAGACCCATAGTTTCAAATCTTAGAGCTCTGACTATATTTTTAAATTAAAAAACTATTTTTTAGGTCCATTGTGTTGGTCCAGAAGGAGGAGTAATTCTCTCGTCTGTTGTTTCGAATGTTCAAGTAAATTCTAATTAATCTAATTTTGACATATTTCCAATTTTAAGGCAATATTTCCTGATGGTTCTTTGACTAAAACAATTAAAGTTTCTCTACAAGCACAACCAGTCCCCCAAGAATTGGTTACCAAACTTCATGGAAATAGAGTTGCCGTCTCTCCAATTGTTACGGTTGAACCGAGAAGGCGAAAATTTCATAAAGTAATTAATTTTAGTTTTTGAAAATCCAAAAAAAATTAATTAAAAATTTACAAGAATATGTGTTACTTTAAGATATATTTGATTTTGTGTTGGAAATTTATTTTTATCTATGGATATCCTCGAATGTATCCATCTCCTATAATTTTAAATGTTTCTGTAAATGCTAGAGATGTGCGAGACCGAAATTTTTCCAAGACTCAAGACCCAAGACAAAATTTTTTCCAAGACCAAGACACAAGACCAAGACCAAAACTCCAAGACTCAAGACCAAAAATCAAGACCAAATTTTTAAATCCCATAGGTCAAATTTTTGGTTTATTTTTTGTTATTTTGATACGATCACAGTCAACTTCAGCACAATTATCTATAATTTCGAAAAATTTATGCGAAATTCAAAGAATTTCGGGGAATTTATTCTGTGGAAAATCAATAAAATAGGTTATTATTTCAGAGGGTTTGGGTTGATTAACGGGATATTAGTGATATCAAAAGATTAAGAGGGATAGCCGTGGGATTTAGCGCCGCAGGCGAAAATTTTGGGAATTATGAAAGCAAAGAAGCCAAAAATCTTCCTTTTCCTGCGCCGCAGGCAAAAATTTTGAAAATTTTGGAAGGCCGTAGGCCAAAAAATTCACATTTTCAGCGCCGCAGGCGAAAATTTTTTGAATTTTGGAGCTCAAGAAGCCAGATTTCTTCCATTTTCTGCGCCGCAGGCGAAAATTTTGAGGATTTTGGATGGCCAAGCACTAGGTCCAAAAAGGCCAAAAAACCAAGACCAAAAAATAAAACCAAGACAAGACCAAGACAAACACTCCAAGACCAAGACCAAGACCGAAAAAAAACCAAGAAAAGTCTTGGTTCCAAGACCAAGACCAAGAGTCTCGCACATCTCTAGTAAATGCCTCATTTTTAAAATATTTTTTAAATTAAAAAATAATTTTCTAAAAAAATTTCTCCAGCCAATAACCCTTTGTATTCCCTTACCTCAATCAACAAATAAAGGAATGCTAACACAATATCAACAAGAAAAACCTGGAAAAGACCAAAAAGATTCGCAACAACCACAACATGAACCTCCAACACTTCGTCTTTTGTGCAGCATAACTGGAGGTGTAATGCCTGCTCAATGGGAGGATATTACTGGAACGACGCAATTAACATTTTCTGGGGATGAGGTAATTATTTTAGGGTTTTAAAATGAGAGAAATTTAACAAAAAATAATTTTAAAATTTTTTTTAAATATTTCCAGATATCATTCACAACAACAGTTTCTGCACGTTTCTGGTTAATGGATTGTCAGGTAAATTATATAAAATTTAATTTCTGATTTTTAAATTAAATTCTGATTTTACTTTTTTTAAAATAACTGTTTTTAACTGAAAGTACATATAACCTAAAGCAAAATATTTCACTAAAATAACTAATCAGCTAAAATAAATTTTAAAAATGTATAATAAGGATTAGGAATCGGGCATCGAATTTTGGCCCGAAAAAGACTCGAGCGGTCCGTTCGATAAAAATCAGGCCAGAAAAATAATTCGAACGTCAGCCTGGTTCAAAAACGGCAACCCTAATCTTTGCACAATATAACAGCTCAAATACTTATTTTTTATGTCTATTCCTTCCAATTTACAAAAATTTTATTAAATAGACCCCAAGAGATGCTGCAAAAATGGCCCAAGAAATTTACAACGAAGCAATAGCAATTCCATTTATGGCACGTTTTGCTGTATTTGGCCGTCGCTCATTCCCAACAGAAGGCCAGCTTAGAATGTTTTGTATGACAGATGATAAAGAAGAAAAAACATTAGAAAAACAGGAAGGATTTCAAAGAATTGCTGTTTCGAGAGATGTTGAAGTTTTGGAAGGAAAACATCAGTGGCTAGAATTTGCTGGAAATTTAGTTCCAGTTACTAAAAGAGGAGATCAATTGTCTATTTTCTTTCAACCTTTTCAAGAGAATAGATTGGCTTTTAATATTAAGGTAATTTGGAAGGATCAAATGATACCTTTGGCCTAGCCTCTTACCTTTTAACCCCTTTCCTCTATAATTTCGGAAAAAATTCTTTTTTGTATTAGGTTAGACAACAAGACGACCAAGAGGCTGCTTCTTCCGGCAAAGTTGCAATAATGAAAGAACCACTTAATAGAGCAGATATTTTACCTCCTCAACATCCAATTTGCATGCTATCAATTACTGTATTTTTAAATAAATTTTATAACTTAAAAATTTTTATTTTTTTAAAGTTGCCAGACTATACAGGCCCATTACCTTCATTAGTTTTGTCTGAACAAAAAGGAGGAGGGGGAGGAGGTGAAGATGACCAATTCAAAAAACAGGCGCCTCTTACCCAACGTTATTCTGATGCTTTATCTACAAATGTAGCAGAGACTTATCCAAACATTCCAATCGAATTTGTTTCAAAAACTATTGGGGCAGATTGGGCAAGATTGGGGAGAGTTCTTGGAATTCATCCAGATGATATTAGACAAATTCGTAGAGAAGTCCCTTCTGGAGGAGGGCAAGAAGCTCTTCACATGTTGAAAATTTGGGTGTTTTTGAAAGGAACTTCTGCTAATGGTAATGAGGGAAAAGGGGGGGGGGGAGGGAATTTAAAAAATTTATTTTTCTCCTTCAGAATCAGATCTCCGCCAAGCACTCCGTCAAATCGGTCGGGATGATATTTGTGTTAGAATGACAGATTCAGACAACCATTTAATGGGAGCAGCTGATTCAGACATTAATTTATCTTCTGCTGCAATTGGAACGCCTGTAAATTTAAGACAAGAATTTTCAAGCAAAGGAAGTCTAGTAACCCCTATACAACAGGCTAATAATATAATAGTTCCACAACAATCAGCACCAATTGAAGTATCGGCTATAGCAGCAGCAATTACTCCAACTGCTGAAGTTGCAGCAGCACCTTTGTTTGGTAGGGAAATTTTTTTAAAATAAAATAAAAATAAAAATAATTTTTTTGTGTTATTTTAAAATTATTTTTTTAATTTTAAAATAATTTTGAATGTAATTGTTTGTTTTTGCTTTGATGTTTTTTTTTGTTTTTGTCTTTTTGATCATTTTTTTAACGATCTCTACTGCTGCTTAAAATTAAAATAATAATTTTTTAAATTTATTTTTAAATTGGTCTGTTGCTTTCTTTTCTTAATTTACCTAATCTCTTAAATTATTTTTGCTTTTTAAATTATTTTTTTTTTCTAAAAAATTTAACATTTACCTATCAATTTTCCGTTTTTCTTTTTATTTATTTATCAATTACTTTCAAACTTCGAATATTTTCTGCTTACTTTTTTAAATTTTTTCCTAATTTAATATATGTATTTACACTTCGTTTATTGCAATTTTATTTCTCAAACTAGAGTTCAACCTCCGTTCTCCGTAAAATCTGTCCCCGCCTTTAAAATTTAACCTCTTCGTGATTGGGAATGTTTCCAGGATGGCTAAAAAGTTTTTATTTTATTTTAAGAAATTCTTAATTTTTATTTCCTAATAAACTTAACAATTTGCCGTTTACTCTTTCTCTATTTTTATATGTTGTTTGTTGTTATTTTGTTACTGTTTATTTGTTTTCTCCAAAATATTTTTTAATGCTTCAATATAAAGGGCGCTCCTTGAACTCCCTTATTTTCTGCTTCAATAAAAGGGCACTGCTAATTATATGTTCGGTCCTATTTTGATAAATACTTTTAAATGTGACAGCCATTAACTGGTTCCTATCCTAAAGCTAAATTGTGAGCCCTTCTATTATTAAAGCATTTACTATATTTTCATAACCATATTGCTGTGTAATTTCTCATTTTTTAAAATTTAAGTTACCCTAAGTACTATTTATATATTATCATCCCTAATTTTTAGCTGCCCAACCAGTTACTTTAACTGCTCCAGAACAACAAATTGACGTTGAAACAGTGGTTACTCGAACTGAACGTCATGTACATCATTCTGAGGACATTAATGAGCCTGTAGTTGATGAACATGTTACCACTCAAATTTTCCGAGACGGCCAACAGGTGAAAATAAAAAGAAGATGAAAATAAAAATAAAATTCCTCATTTGTTCCAGATGGAACAACTCGAAGAGCGAAAACTTGGCCAGCCATTAAATGAACAAGAACAGGCTCAATGGGAAGAAATGACTGGGGCGCAAGTTGAAGGAGAGCCAGAAAATAACGAAGCAATGGATTATCTTCAAAGAAGTCGAAAGGCAATGGTTGTCGATGGAGATGAACAACATTTAATGGAATATGATGAGGAAGGTCATCCAGTTGGACAAACTACTGTTAAAACAACAACTTTAATTACTACAGAACATTTAAGAGAACCACCGCCAATTAATATTGAAGAGGTTGAAGAAGAACCTCAGAAAGAAATTGAATCTTCTCCAATAGAAGAAGAATCTCCTTCCCCAATAATAGTGGAGGAAGAGGATGAAAATAAACATTCTACGGGAATTCAGTCTCAGCATAGTAGTGAAGGTCCGTTATAGGGGGATGTTCTTTTTAAGCAATATTTTGTCAGCAAATAATTCACGCAAACTTTATTTTTAAAAATTATATAGGTAGGTTAGTATGTAACTTTGATTTCTGACCTTGTAAAAACTGCTTGAATATTCTCATTATTGTAAATATTTTGAGAAGTTCTGATTTTTTCTAAAGTCATAGTTTCCAAAATGCAGATACATTTTCAGTAATCTTTCTATCGTTCGAAAATAACTTGATAAAAAAGCAAAAAAAATTTGAATTTTTGGAAGAGCTAACTAATATTGTTGGGAATATTTTTCCAAACTTTCATGACTCTAAGCTCATTTTTATAATTTTTTTATATAAATTTGTTTTATTTGCTGACATTTCTTATATTTAACTCCACAAAAAAATATCCTAAAAATTATGTAAAGGTTCTTCTGTTATTATACACGATGATAAGCCACAAGAAGCAGATGATCCCTTCAAAATTTATGAAGAAGAAATACATTTTCAAGAAGATAATGAACCTCTTACTGAAGTAGAGAAAAGTTCAACATTTGAAGAAAAAGATGAAGAAAAAGAAGGAGGAGGAGGAGGAACAGATTTAGGCATAAGTACCTACGACAATGTTCATCGTGAAACAAGTAATGGATTTAATGAGGAAGATATTCAAGAAGAAGAAGAACAACAAAAAAGAGGTATGTAGTCATGATGATGTAACTACAAAGTAGTAGAAAATTTGTAGAGTAATTTTTTTTAAAAAAAGGCAAGCGAATTTTATAGACTAATTTTTAATTGATATTTTGCATAAGGGAAAGGCGGATTAAAAAAATTTAAATTAAGGGCAATTCAATGTAACAAAATAATTCTTTAATAAGCATCAGTTTTGAACCTAGCAAGAATTATAAAATTCTCAAATTTTTGGTAAGCACTAAAATCTCCCTAAAAGGAGGTTGGGAGGGGGGGTTCTAAAATAACCAGAACAACAATTCCCTCTAATGGATATATCGAGAGTTTAAATTTTTTTAATCAGCCTTTTCATGTTTTGTCCAATCCCTTTTTTATCTTTAAAATAATTTTTAGCTAAAGCACTCTTCTTTCCTTCTAAATAATCTTTAAAATAATTTTTCTTTTAATTTTTTAAAATTTCCTTTAGTCATTTAATTAGTTTTTTTTCTCTTTAATTTTCGCTAAAAATCACGCAATTTATTAAAAACACTTAATTTAGTTTAAAAAACTTGCCAATTTTGCCACTCAATTTTTAAAAATACTAGTAGCTAGTTTAATTTTTTTTAATTCTCTCTAAAAATATATTTAATTAAAATAAATCTCATTATTAAACAAAACTACCCAAAAAAATAATTAAATTAATAGAAGAGGGAATGGATTAAAAAAAATAAATTTTTGATTCTTGTTAATTACATACTAGATAGAAATCGAGCTGGACCAAGTCCTGGGTTTTTTCTGTACCCAGAGTCCAGGCCCAGACATTTTTTGACCTTCCTGGGTTTTTCCTGGACTACAGGCCCTGGATCCTCTCCAGGTCAATAAATCAAACTCCAACGTCCAGGAACAGGTCCAGGCTTTTCTAAAATCCCGATCTCTATTACATATCTTATTAACTTAAAAATATTCATTTTCTTAATTGGAATCCAACTTAAAAGAGATTTATATTCAAACGAAAGCATCTCTCTGATAGAATCTCCCCTCTACTAAAAATGTAATAAAAGCTCTACCTCTCTAATAGAAAATTCAGTTTTTCGATTAAATTCCCAACTCCCACATAGAAAATTAATATTTATACGAATGATTTAAAAGATAATTTATTTAAAAATCCATTCTCTCTTAATTAAAAAATACTTAAAAATTCTCTAATTACTTAATCTATTTTTTAGTTTCTAATAATACTTAAAAATTTATTATATTTCTTTAAAAATCTGCAATTTATTTTTGTTATTGTTTTGTGTTTGGTTAATATTTAATTATATTTTGTGCTTAAATAAATATTTTTAGTAGTTATTGTTATTTTGTGATTTTGTGAATATTTTAAAATTAAAAAATTTTTGGGGGAAGTATAAAATTTTTGGGGGTATTTTTATTTATTAAAATAAAAATACATATATATTTATTGAAACAATTGCTGTGGGTAGTTAAGAAAAATATTTTTTAATAGAAGGAAAGAGTATTTGTAGGTAAAGCAAAGGATTAAATAGATATATTAAGTCTCCTCTGTTTCTCTCTCACGTTACTTTAAGTGTTTGTTATAGGCTAAATGCCTGCAATTGTTTGTTCCTCCTTCCGAGCGTTAAATCAATCTTCAATTGAATCGATCCCCGATCAAGCTAAATTAGAAGGAATTAGTCTAGTTTTATTTTATATTTTTGTTATTTAATGAATTCCTCGTTTAATTTTATCCAAAAAACGGATCGTTCCCGTAGATTCCCGTAGATTTGCCCAGATATAGACATACTTTGGGAGACTTGTTCGAAGATCAGTTCTGACAGTTCGAAACAATTTTAACTAAAGTTCTGACTGAATTAATTAAAAGAATAAGAGAACCATGGCTTTTTATGATATAATCTGATCTCGTTTTCCAATATTATATACACTCAATTTATAAATATTTTTTTTAAAGTTATTCATCCTATGGATGGAAAAGCTGCTTAAAAGCGATACCTTCTTTATATACCTCCTCATTATCATATCTTTCAGTCTCAATTAGATAAGAACAAGATCCGACATACTATTAGATTATTCTTGTCTACCTACCTAGTTTTATTCCCCATTAGTTAAAGTATTATTACCTAGTTTTATTCTATATTAGTTAAAATAACATTTAAAAAATAATGTCCGATACAAGAAATATTCCAATAAAATTCCAACAACCCCAACCATTTTCTTCAACTTCTTCACAACAACAAAGTCCCCAACAACCCCAACAAAAACAAAAACCTTCTTCAGTTGACAGACTACGTCAACTTGAAGCAGAAATAACTATAGAGGCTGCGGGTATGCGTTTACCTGATGATGATGCTTTAACTGAAAAATTGGGTAATTTCCTTGCCGAAAGACATCCCCAAGCAGATTTACAAATAACTGTAAATTCTGTTAGAAGAACAATAACAACTAAACAGCAATATGAAACGGTTTTGAAAAAATATTAAAAAAAAATTTTAAATAAAAAAATAAAGGAAACTCCGGGAATGGTTGGTCTTAATGTAGAGAAATTGTTGGAATTGCAGAGGAAATTAATGGAAAAAATTAGTAAGAAAGAAAATAAATGAGGGGGAGGGATTTAATTATAATTAATTGGGGGGGGGGGGGATTTAATTAATTAAAATAAATATTTTTGTGGTGTTTTCTATTTATGTTTTGTTTGTTGTGTGTGTATGCTTTCTCTAATTTTTTTGCTTTTTTACAATTTAGTTGATTAAAAATTTATTTTTAAAAATTACCTTCCCAAATTAGCCACATTCTCCTGGTTATTTTAAAATAATTAAAGTTAAACAATGCTGGATATTTTGCCTAATTATCATATATCCTTGTTAAATCCTTAATGAAATACTGGATGACTAAAAAATCTCGTGTATAAAACAAAATTTCACCTTTTGTTCTCTCGAAATTTCAGTTAGAGCCATGAATATCTCGGAACCTGAAGTCCTGCCTGATTCCTTATTTTGTAAAATATCGAGCATTAATTAAATAAAATTTTCAGAAAAATTTAAAATTTTGGAAAATTAAAAAATTATTTTCTCTTTTGTAGGTGCAAATAAAATTGAGCCAGCAAAAGATGCTAGTGCCAATCTTGAAGACGAGAAAAAAGAAAAAGAGGAAGAATGGGCAAGAAGAGAACATCCTGGTAATTTTTAAATAAATTTTAGGGGAATGTGGCATAAATTTAGAAAAAAAAAATTCCCTTAAAAACTCTAGAAATTCAACAATTTGAACAAATACAAGAAAGTTTCCCAATTGATGACACAACAATGATTACTAAAAAACGGACACATATAATCTCTACAAGTCAATCTCGTGTTAAAGGTTTTTGATATTTCCACAAAAAGTCGTTGATCGGTTAAACACAAAATAAAAGTTTTTTTTTTGTATTTTTGAAAAGTAAATTTTTGTTTTTTTCTGTTTTTTGTAAAGATTTTTGTTTTTAACAAAATTATTTTTATCATCTTTCATTATTTATTTAGTGACACTAAAAATTAAATTAAAAATTGAGTGGCAAAATTTCTAGCAATTCTTTCCTTTTCCATTTTATATTGTATATTTAATTTCATAAAATCACATTAAATATTTCACTTTTCTTAAAAACTAGCTAGATTTGAAATTATAGTTATAGCCAAAAACATCATTATGAGAGAGTAATTTTACATATTTTTGTGCCTTCCCATATGTTAAACAATTTTACTTTTATTTAGATTTTTTAATCGCTTTACTTCAGGATATGAGGGGAGGGATTATGTTGGTGGATTTGGCTATTTCTTACTAAATTAATATAGGTATATATACTAGTGATGTTCGGGACTTTAAATCACGATTTCTAAAGTCAATTCCCGATCCCATTTTCTAACTCCTAGATTTTTCCTTTTCTCGAACATCGATCTAGAATATACCTACTTCAATTAATCACTTGATTTTAACGCAAATTACATCTTTCGCTTTTTGTAATATTTTGGATATAAAGTAAATAAATAAACTTTTTGTGTTTAACTGATCAATGACTTTTAATTAAATTAAAATTAAAAAAATTTGGTTAAAAATTAGGACTTGATGAGTTTGCATCTGCCGCTCCTTCAGCCGGCGCTGCAGGTTATTCACCACAAGCATCACCTGCAGAACAACAATATCCAATTAGAGATGAAGGTTGGTGAATTAAATTAAATTTAATTTTATTAAAAATATATTATTTTGCTGTGGTTTTGTTGAAAATATACATGTTTGTTTGTTTGAATTGTCTGAATTAAGGCTGCTCGATATTTGCGGATAAACAGAGATATCTTTGGAATTTTAAGCTATTTATTGAGCTATTATAATTTTTTAGGCTATTATAATTTAAAATAGTCCGGCAAATATCAATTTAACAAAAAAGTTGTTTTGCTTGAATTCTTTTGAATGTTCTTTGAAATTAAAAATAATTTCTCTCCTCAACAAAATTTTTTTTCTTCCTTTTGCCGTCCTTGCTGTATTTAATGACTGTATTTAATACTTTGCTGTATTTTTTATCCAAAAATTTCCCAAAAAAAACATTTAAGGCCGTCAATCATTCAATCGCCCTCCTCTCCTCCTTCCTTCTTTCAACAATTCAGCAACTTCTCGAACACAGTCAATAGAGAAAACAATTCCAATTTATAGAGTTTAAAAATTAAATTTTTAGAAAAGATTTTATATAAAGAATTGTTTTTATTATACATAAAATATATATTGTTTAATTTGAATAAAAAAATAAATAAAAATATTTCTGGAACACGAAAAAATCCTGAAAAATTTGGGAATTATTTTAAATTAGACAAATAAAATATTATTTGAAAAATTAGGAATTTTTTTCAAACAATGAATATAGTCTTGTTTTTGTTTAAGTCTCAGAAATTGTATAGGGCGAGATAATGTTTAGGAGACTAGACTGCTTAATAAGTATTCGGATTTCTCTAATCTCGGTCTTTTTTGCTAGAAAGTTTTGAAAGAAGTATACTTTAAACAAAAATTTTTATTTACGAAAATATTTTTTTATCTTTATTTGTAATTTGTGAATGTGTAAATGTAATTAATTATCAAAATATGTATAGTGGTGTGTTTAGTTGATAAATAGTAAAATTTAAATTAAAAATAATAAATAGTAATTTCAATCAAATTAAAATATATTTTATTCCTTTTAATTTATTTAACCCAATTTTTGGAATTTCCAATTAAGTAATTTAAGGGAATATTTTACCTTATCTTAAATAAAAATCTAAAAATTAAATAAAAGGGATGGATTTGTTTCTCACAGATTAGTGAGGATTATAATGAACAAATTTTGATCTAAATTTTATAAAAAATTCTTTAAATTAAATTTTTTACAATTTTTAGAATCCCCACTACCACCAGAATCCCTTTCAATTTCAATAACTTCACAACCAGATTCTTTAATGACAACAAGTTCAATTAGTGTAAAAGATAAAATAGCTCAATTTGAATTGCTTAAAAAAGTTGAGGAAAGTGAAGATTCTGTTGATGGGGCTAAAAGAAGATTTGGGTGGCATCCACAACCGAAAAAAACTCCAGATAAGGTAATGTTTGAAAGAGTGCTGGGAACTTAAAGCATGTTAATGCTTTTAGAGTGTATCCTTATAAAAATATCAAAAGATAATGTTTAATTAGACTAACAAAATAAGATAAAAATGATTATTTTATGAAAATCAACTTTCTTACAAGAATTTTTTAATTATTATTTTTAATTAAAAAATCTAAAAATTCTATAAGGTCAGATAATAATGTTAAAAAATATTAAAGCGAATTTTTACGATTTTAGATGTTTTTTGGGTTTATAAAATTAAAAAATGATAATTTATTTTAATATTTTTAAGGAAAAATCGGAAGAAAGAAAAAGTCCTCGAGACGAACAAAGACAACCATCCCCAGTTGGCAGCGATGTCCCCGGTGCAAATAAATCAAAAATTCCTCGAATAACTTCCCCAACTCGATTAACACCTTCACCTACAGTTTCCCCTCGAAAACACGAAGAAAAATTTCAAGAAATTGAAAATAATTTTTTATTAGAAAAATTTGAAGAAAAAGGAGAAGCTAATTGTTTAAGAAAAGAATATACAAAAATTGAAGAATATTTATTTTATGAAATTAATGAACCTTTAATTGAAGAAGAACAACATTTTATACAGAAACCACAAGTTTTTCATTCAATTGTTACTGATGAACCATCACATGTGGAAGCTTTTGGAGAAATTGAAAGGAGAAAAAGAGATGTTGAAAAAACTGATTTAGGTAAAGTGAGGAAATGATTATTAAATTAGTGCAGAATTTCTGACTCGAATTTTTCTAAGGAGAACCATTTTGAGGGTTGTTGAATGGTGAATTAGGATAATAGAGTAATTAATATTTTAGAATTCTCTTTATATTTTGTGAATTTTCTTTATTTCCAGTAACCCGAACCAACTTATCTCAACCCCACCCATCCCTTCCAAACAATCTCTTCTTGAATATATAATTTTAGATTTAACTCACACCTCAAAAGACGATGGAGACGATCACTTTGAAGATCAAACAGAAAAAGGAGAATCGTATAAAAATGAAATATATGGAAAAGAAATCCCTGAAGAAACAGAAAAGTTAGTTAAGGATGAAGAAATTATAGAAGAGAAGGATAGAAAAGAAGAATATTTAATTGAAAATGAAGAAAATGAGGAAGAGAGAAAATTGGAAGAATTGAAACAAGAAAAAGTTGAAGAAGAAGAAAATTTTGAATTTGTTCAAATGCCGAAGGAAGATGAATTTGTAAAAATGAAAAGTGAAAAAGAAGAAGAAATTGAGGAAAAGAAGGAGGAAAATAAAGAAATAATTGGTAATTTTTTTAGAAAATTAATTTTAATTGGGTATATAATTTATTTTAATTAGAGAAGAGGGATAGAGGTTTTTATTTATAAAATAAATAGTAACAATCTATAAGAATGCCCATGTAAATGTCCATATATTTTTTAGTAATGAGCGAACCTCTACAAAAATCTGAGCAAATTCAATCATCAGTGTGGCTTGACAAAGTGCCTGTTGAAAGTTTTATTAATGAAAAAGAGGTTTTAGAAGAAAGAAAGGCTATTTTATGGCCAGAAGAAGAACAGGAAAAATTAAAAGAAACAGAAACCTTAATTGAAGAAAAAGCTTGGTGGAAACCAACAAAAACAGAAAAGGAAATTTTAATTTCTGAAGAAGAAAAATTAAATGAAGAAAATAAACCAGAACTGTTAGAAAATCAACAAAAAATATTTGTTGAGGAAAAAGAGAAATTAATTGAAGATGAAAAGGATGAAGAAGAAACAGATGAACAATCCAGGTAAATTAAATGGAAAAATTCTCTCAATTATTTTTTTATTAATTTTAAGCACTCACACAGTTATACATAGACCAGAAGTGCTTATAGAAGAAGCTGTGGATATTACACCTTTAATGGATCGAGCATTTTCACTACAAGGGGAAGAGGTGAAATAATTAAAGTTGATTCAAGAAAATAATATTTTGATCTTTAAGGGTTGTCAAACACCCACAATGAGTGCAGCTCGATGGAAAAGTTTGGACGAACGTCATTCCCCTTCTTCACTTAGTTCACCAGTCCATTCTTATCCTTCACCTTCGCCTATAATTGAAATTACCCCTCCACCAATTGAAGATGAGGAAGAATGGGAAAGGCGACAAATGAGGGATAATGAAGAAGAAAGAAATATAATGATAAAAGAGGAGGAAGAGGAGAATGAGTTTAATGAAAATAATCGGAATAAAGAAGAAAATGAGCAGAAAAAATTTATGGAAGAAGAGTATGAGAAAAAAGTAGTGGAAGAAGAGTATGAACAGAAAAGATTAATGAAGGAACAAGAGAAAGAATTGCAGAGATTAGTAGAGGATGATTATGAGCGTGATAAATTTAAGGAGGAAGGAGATGAGAAAGATCAATTAATTGAGGAAGAACAAGAAGATACGAATAAGAAATTTGTAGAAAAAGAAAAGGTTGAAGATGAACAGAAATTAATAAAAGAAGAGAAGTTTATAGAAGAGAAAGGGGATGTGCGGAAGGAGTCTATAGAAGAAAATGATAAACATGAAAATTTTAATGAAGAAGATGATGAGAAGAAAGAATATGGGGAAGATGAGGATTTCGGGAATGAGGAATTAATGACAGAAGAGTATGAGAAGAAACCGCTGACAGATGAAAATGAGGATAGTCGACTGAAGACTTTTATTGAAAAAGATGACGTAAATGAGGAATATATAGAAGAGGAAGAGCAGAAAATATTTATTGAAGAAGAGGATAGGAAGGAAGTAGCTGATGAAGAGGTGGAGGATGAGAAGATGAGATTAGTAGAGGAAGAGAGGAAAGAATTATCAGAAGAGAAACAAGAGCATATGAAAAATGAATCTATCCATGAAGAGGAAGAGAAGAATAAATTTATCGAAGAGAAGGATAAGGAAAAATTTACCGATGAAAAGGAAAAGAAGGAATATACCACAGAAGAAGATGTGGAGGAGAGATACACAGAAGAACAAAAAGAAGATAGGAAGATATTTTTGGAAGAAGAAAAGAAATATATAGAAGAGAAGGATAATGAGAAAAAATTGGTAGAAGAAAAGGAAGTGGAGAAAGAATATATACAAGAACAAGAGGATAAGACGTTAATGGAAATAAAAAAAGAGTATATTGAAGAAGAGCATGCTGGAAGAAAACTTAATGAGGAAGAGGAGGAAAGGAAAGAGCATATAGAAAAGCAAGATGAAAGGAATATATTATTGGAAGAAGAGAATGAATATGTAATAGATTTGGCTGAAGAAAAGAAATTTACGGAAGAAGTGGAAAAGATAAGAGATTTTACTGAAGAAGAGGATGAGAAGAAATTACTCGAAGAAGAGAAGAAGGATCTTAGTGAAGAAAGGTATGAAAAGGATGTAATAGAAAAAGAATTAGAGGACGACCTGAAAGAATATTTGAAGGAGGAGATAAAGATACAAGAAGATGAGCGGATTAAATTTATGCAAGAAGAGCAAGAAAAGAATGAATTTATGAAGGAAAGGGATGAAGAGAGAATATCTTTAGAAAAGGAGAAAGAGTATATTGAGGAAAATAATGATGATATAAAATTTAAAGAACAAGAGGAGGAGATGAAAGATTATACAGAAAAACATAAAGAAAAGGAGGAAACATTTTTGGATGAAGAAAAGGAATATATAGAAGAAGAGGATGAAGGAAGGAAATTGATGAAGAAAGACGCTGAAAAGGATCAACATATACTAGAAGAATATGAAGACGAAAGGAAGGCATCTTTGGGTGAAGAGAAAGAATATTTAAAAATGGATGAGGAGGAGAAAGTGATGGAGGGAGAGCCTGGGAAGAATGAAGATATAGTAGAACAAGAGGATAGAAGGCAGACATCTTTGGATGAAGAAAAAGAATATTTAAAAAAAGAGGAGGAGAAATTTACGGAGGGAGAGCTCGAGAATATTGAACATATAGAAGAACAAAAGGAAGATCAGAAGATATTTTTAGAAGATGAAAAGGAATATATAGAAGATGTTGAGAGAAAGAAATTACCGGAGGAAGAGGAAGAAAAGAAAGAATATATAGAAACCCAAAAGGAAGAAGATTTAACGGATGAAGATAGGAAGGAATATATTAGGGTAGAAGAGGATGAGAAGAAGGAACCAACAGGCGAAAAAGTAGATGATGATCAAAAGAGCTATATTGAAGAAGGTAATGCTGGAAGGATGCCCACGGAAAAAGAGGAGGAAAGGAAAGAGTATATGGAAAAACAAGAGGAAGAAATAAAGAAATTTTCGGATGAAGGAGAGAAGGAATATATTGAAGAAAGGGAAGAATTAACAGACGAAAAAATAGATGATGATCAGAAGAAGTATATTGGAGAAGAGGATACTGGAAGGAAATTCATGGAAGAGGAGGAAGAAAGGAAAGAATATATAGAAAAAGAGGAGGAGAAGAATTTTTTGGGTGAAGGCAGGAAGGAATATATTAAAGAAAGGGAAGAATTAATAGACGAAAAAGTAGATGTTCAGAAAGAATATAATGAGGAAGAGGGAGAAAAAGAATGTGTTGAAGAAGAAGGTCCTCAAAAGAAACTTACGGATAACGTGGATGAGAAGAGGGAATTTATAGTAGAAGAACATGAGAATGAAAGTAGAAAATTTGTTGAAGAAGAAAAATTAGATGATGAGTATAAGAAATACATGAGTGAAAAGCATGATATGAGTAATTTGACAGAAGAAAAGGTAGATGATGGTAGGGAAAAATTTATAGAAGTGGATGAACAAAGCAAATTACTGGAAGAAAAAGAGGATGAGGTACAGAGATCTATGGGAGAAGAGGATGATCATAGGAGATTTATGAAAGTACATGAAGAGAAGAAAGAATATATAGGAGAGGATGAGGAAAGGCAATTAATGGATGAGGAGCGAGATCAAGAGGAGAGACATCAAGAGGAGAGAGGTCTTAAGGAATTTGTTGATGAGGAAAAAAGAGAGGAAGAAAGGAAGGAATTTACAGAAAAGGGGGAAGAGATGACAAAATTAACTGAAGAATTTGATGAACAGAAGAAATTTCCTCAAGATGTTGCTGAACAGATGAACTTTACAGACAAAAGGAATGAGGAGTTAATGAAAGAAAAAGAGGAAGAGTTTCATGGATTAGAAGATGATACGCAGAAGAATCTTAACGAGGAAGGGGGTGAATCGAAAGTATTTATTGAAGAAGGAATTGATGAAAAGAAAGTTGATAAATTCATCAAAGGGGATGATAGGAAATTAATAACAGAAGAACAAGAGGATGAAAAGAAATTTATGGAAGAAAAGGATACGAAGGAGGAATTAATATTAGTAAAGGATGAGCCGAAGGAATTTGTAGATGAGGATGAGAAGGATAAATTTATGGACGAAGATGAACAGAACAAATTTATCAAAGAAGATTACGCTCAAAATAAATTAATTAAAGAACAAGAAGATGAACCGAAGAGGTTATCGGTAGATAAAGAAGAGAAAAATGAATTTATGGAGGAAGATGAACGAAAGGAAATTATGAAAACTGATGAGTTAGAAAAAGAACATTTATTTGAAAAAGAGGTTGCTAAACAAGCTGGGGAACTTGTTGATAATGCTATTAAACGAGCACTTGAGGACAGTATGATACTTCAACGTGATACATATCTTGAGGAGGCTAAAAAGGTTCCTGGCCATAGAGAAGAGGAGGAGATGAAGAAATTTACTGAAGAAGTTGATGAACAGATCAAATTTACAGACGAAAGAAATGAGGAGTTAGTGAAAGAACAAGATGAGCTGCAGAGGTTGGAAGAAGAGGATAAACAGAAAAATTTTATCGAGGAAGGAACAAAGTTGGCAGATAAAAAATTAGAAGACGAAGACATCAAAGACGAACAAATTCTTGTAAATATTTCCGAATCTAGAAAATCCTCTGAATCAGAAGAGGAGGACGAAGAAATATCCTTACTGACAACAGAGGAGAAGGAAGAAAATGAAGGAGAAGCCAATAATTCTCCCGAATTAGTATACGGTGATGGTGATGAGGAATTAAGTGGAGAAAATAGTCAACAAAGTCCTTCAGAATTGTATAAAGCTGGGGAAGGAGAAGAGGGAAGAAGGGACCATCATCATTCTTTATTACCTTCCTCTTCACTTCTTTTACCTTCAGGAATACCAAGAAGACCAAAATCCCCACTTCCACCTCCAATTGCTGCAACACCACCACAGACAGGAAAAGTGGAGAATATTGAAAAGGATGAAGAAAAAAGGGAGGAAGTGGAGGAAGAAGTGGAAATTGAAGAGATTAAGCGAGAGGAAGAAGAAGAGGAATCTATGCTTTTAAGCGATGGTTAGTTAGTAAATTAAAAATAATAATTCATCTATGTACATGAACGCTGAGCTCAAATTTTCATATTTTATGTTTAGGATTTTGAGAATTTGAAACTTAACAGACTCGAATAAAAATTCACTTTTCTTATCACTTTATTTTCTTCAGTTAAAATGCCTGTTGATAATTTACTCGTGTTTTCTACACATAAAGATGGTGATGAGGATGAAGTGAATTATTTCGGACCCACAATTTCAGAAGAACGTGATACTCTTGGTCCCGACTTGATGATTGTACAGTCGAAAAGTTTGGAGGAAGTAAAATCACATGGGAAGGATATAATTGACGATCCATGGCTTTCCTCTTTTATTAAAGAACAAAAAGAGAGAGAGGATTGGGGACAGAAAAAAGAGGTGAAAATTATTTCAATTATATCAACATCAAAATTTTATTTTAGGTGCAAATTGAAGAGACAGAAGAAGGAGAAGAACCATTAGAAGAACCTCAACATCAAATAGGAGGTTCTCTTGATACCTCACCATCAGAAAAAAGACGTAGACGAAGTTCTGCTGCTTCAGTTCATGGTTCTACAAATGGAAGTTTATCTGAATTTGAAAGAATTGAACAAGAAATAATTGAAGGAGGAGGAAGTGCAAAGAATTTAAATTCAAGTCCACAACATTCTCCTGAGGCTGGGGAAGGAAAAAGAAGAAAATCGGCTGGAAAACAGCAACATCAATCACCAACTAGAGAGGGAGGTGTTAGTGCTGTTCATAGAGGATCTGGTAAATTAGACTTTTTTGTAGTAGTATGTTAACAGATAGAGCTTTTAAATTTAATTTTTTTAAATTCTTAACAGCCGATTCACTCAATGAATTTGAACAATTGGAAAGAGAAATACACGAAGCTGTTGCTTCTGAAGATATAATGATGTTAAGTGATATTAGAGAAGATGAAGAAGGTGAAGAAGTAGAAGGTTATGAATTAAGTGGAGAGGAAATTGAAGAAGAAGAGGAGGAGGAAAATGATCGAAGGGATTATTTAGGGAAGGAATTAAAAAAAGAGAATAATAATAATGAAGTAATGATGATTAGTTCTGGTTATGATTCTAGTGGACAAAGTAAGGGTCTTTAAAATATATGTACAAGAGAAATAATTAGTAAATTCGAGAAATTGAGAATTTGGGGAATGGGAAAGGATCGAGGGGTTCTTTTCAATTATGTATCCAAAAGTCAGCAAATATTAATGTTCGAAATTTTAGTTTTATGATTTTGATTAGAAATTAAATGAAGAAAAGTTAAAGGTTAGAGAGCAGAGAGTAAGTTACTCCTCTCTTGCCAACACTTGACTTTTAGGTGTATGTCAATTGGTCTATTTGAGTCTTGAAATATGTGAATAATTGTTCGGGTTTTTTTATTATAATTACTTTTTGAGATTTACTGAATTTAAGAGTTCTTTGATTATTCAAAACATCTTTTAATTAACCCTAGCACAACAAATTGAATTAATTGCTCAACAACAATCTCCTGAATCTGAAAAAATACTACAAATATCATCAATAGAAAAATCGACAGAAAATCTAAAAGAAACCCCGCCTCCCCCAAAACAAACACCAGATGAAAAAGAAGAAAAACAAGAAGAGGAAGAAGATAAACTAATTACAAATATTTCTCCAAAACCAAAAATAATATCAGAACAACAAAAACCAGAATTTAAAGGAAAAACAGAAAATTTATTTAAACAACAAAAAGAAATAATTAAAAAACAAAATATTCCTTCAACCTCTGAAAAGAAAGAAGATTTTGTTTTTGGCGGGGGAGGGGGAGGAGAAATAATAGTTCCGAGTGGGGGAAGTTTAGATAAAGAAGAGGAAGAGGAAGATGATGATAATTCTGAAAAAACAATTTTTGAAACTGTTAGTGTAAATTCGGCTGATGGAAGTGAAGAAAAGATTGTTAGGTATGGATGGATTTAATTGGGATTTTAAAAATAAAAAAATTCAAAAAAATTTTCAGAACAGCAATAACCAGAGTTCGTGACCCAATTTATAGCCGTGTCCGTTTTGCCGGCACCGAGGTAGAAAAAAAATATTTTTTTTAATATTTCTGTAAAAAATTCATTGTTTTAAAGGATGAGCAACAAATAAAAGCAATTTTAGAAAGTGGAAGGACAGATGAATTTGAATTGAGAGATCCAGAAGGAAATATAACACGTTTAAGAACTGTTGTTGAGAGGGGGAGTACTAGTAGTAGTACTTGATTTTTAATTAAGGTTTTGTGTTTGGGTTGGCACAATGTTTGAGAAATTTTTTTTGTTAAATTTTAGAGAGAATATTCCATTTAATTGTGTCAAACACTCATTTCCCTTTGCCATTTTTTAAAAATATTTTTAGTTATTTAGAATTTTTCTTTTGCCTTTCTTCTTTTAATTTTCAAATGCTCGATCGCTTTTCTTTTACTCTCAGCTTTTTCTTTTTAAAACTTTGCATTTCTTATTTAAATATTTTTCCCAGTTTCTTCTTTTTTTGCTTTTTTTAATAATTTAAAGTTTATTTCTTCAAGTTTTACCTCTATTTTGAGATTTCTGAACAGAGGAGAAAATCCCCTTTTGTCTGGATTTCGGGTGGGAAATGAGAAGTAAAATAGAGGTTAGGACTTTTTTCAAAGCACTTCTCTTCCTTTTTCCTATATTTTTAAATTAAATAACCACCAACAAAATTCTCTCATAATTTAATTTAAATATTTAATACATTCCTTAAAATATTGCAATTTATTTTTTTAAATTTTTTGCTAAGTCATTTGTTTTTTTTTGTTATTTGGAATATAAAAACATTCCTAAAAACATTGTAGAACGAGCTCTTTTTTAATAAATATTTCTTTGTTATTTATATTTTGTATGCTTATTTTTAGAGAATAAAAATTTATAATTTTAATTTTAAAATCAAAATACATATATTAATTATTAACAAAAAGAATATGTTTAGTATCGAAAAATACAGGGATAAAATTTTAAGAATAGTTAAAATTAAATCAAAAGGATAAACTAAACAAAGAAAATTGAGGTTTTATTTCTCATGTTTGCGGCGAAAATTTTGAGAATTTTGGAAGACACTTAAGCCAAAAAATCTTCCTTTTTGCGAAAATTTTGTTAATATAAATCCTATATCCGCCGAACTACCTGATACTCCTCTTGATTTCCCGATATCCATCGAAATTCCCCGATATCCTCTTTGATTTTCTGGTATCTATTTCCACCGACCCTAGAATTATGTATATCTATCGTTCTTTGAATTGGAGGTGTACAATGAAAGATGAGGATTTTTGGGATTAACGGAGATTACTCCATTTATTTCTCAATGACTTGTGATATATCGGCGATTTAAATGGATTGGTCGAAACCGGACTTAACAATTTTAAAGTTTCTAATTAAAAAAATTGTTTAGTCTCCGTGTAGAAAATATTTCAACTTCGAACAAGTTTTTTGTTTTGTATTTATTAAATGTTTATTTTATTTTTAATTCCGTAATCGAATTATACCCTCTCAACATTTTTAAATGTTTTTTTTCTTTTTAAATTTAAATTACATAAATTCAATTTACTCTCCCTTCTCATATTTCTTAATCATTTCTTTCTTCGCATTTAAACATTTTCCTCTAGGCCCCATAATTCGAGTACTTGCATCATCCTTCTGCCTCTATAAATACCCTCATATTTTTACATTTTTAACTCTCTTCGAGCCTCCCCTCCTTTACCCAATTTATGTTTTGTTGAAATAATTCTAAATAAATACCTCATTCAAGTTTAGGGTCGTTTTAATATTAAAATCGGCTATGCTGATACAATTCCGGCTGTAGATACCGAAGTTTCAGTTTCGTACAAAACCCAAACCATTCGATTCGTCTCAACGAGCTCTTGAATGAGCTAACATGTGCATTTTCGAATCTTTCACCCCAAAAAGTGCTTCCCCCTCCTCATGATTTTTCGATTTTTAGGACCTATATCTCGATCTATAGGCATCTCCACAAAAAGAGTGGTTTCAACATTTTTAATTTTATTTCGATTTCATTTAGTGAATAATTCTTGAAACTTTTTAAAAATACAAAAAAAAAACAAAATTTTTGTTATTCCTGTAATAATGACCTTAACAAAAAAACAACAAAATAATAAACCAATTCCAATTGAATTGATTTATGAAATATCAAGATCAATTAATGGATATGGAAATCTATTAATAAAAAAACAAATAAATGATACATCAAAACAACAAAAATATTTTATTTCGAAAATTAAATGTAGTGAAAATGTGTTAATTTCTTCTAGAATAATTTACATATTTAGTGGAAATACTTTAAAAGAAATATTGGTATAGTATTTTTTTATAACTTTAGTTTGAGGAGTTATAAATCACGACCAAATTCCTCAATGCCACAAACAATTAGGTCCCAACTACCGGAAATTTTGATCGTGTGGGATCAGAGTTAATCAAACTTTGCCATTTAGTTCATTGGCAGCAGGCAAAACTTTCGAGTTAAACTGATACTGGGAGGAAAAGTAACTAAACAAATTCAAAATATCGAAGTTTACTAAAAATAAGTGGGTAAAATTTCGAATTCAAACAAAATTAAATAGGATATTTGATATCAAATCTCTACTTCTGACCTACGAAAAATAGAATGGCCACCTCCATTTGAATGGCCCTTCAATTGAATGGCCCTTTTTTTGGAGGTATCGAAAAATAAAATGGCGGCCATTCTATTGGAATAAATACGGTATATCGAAATATTTTTATGGTTGAAATTTTTTCTAAATTTTATTTTTTCAGAATTATTTTAAAAAAATTAACAAAAGAAAAATTATGGTAGTTAAGCTTGAAGATATTATTAAAAAAATTGAAATTGAAAAAGAAGAGAAGATAAGAAAAACTAAAGAAGAAAACGCACACGAATTGTTGCGCATGAGGGGCAACCAAAAGATTCTGGATGATGTAAACAAGTCATCTGTTGAAAAAATTGAAGAAGAATACAAAAAAATAATTCAAGAAACAAAGGAGAAATCTGACGAACAAGTACGAATATCATAATTTTCCATTATAAATAATCTAAATACATAGTAATTTAGCTTATGACCAATTCAGTTTCTTCTTTATAATTACAATTTTATTTCAAGGTGCTTGTTTTGCCCAAAAACAAATTGGTAAAGATTGCTGAGGTAATGAGTTGCTGTGATTCGAAATGTTTGTCTGCCGGTTCTCTTTGCCGTAATGCTAACGGAATCGTCAAAATCCGTGAATGCGGTATTCTGGCAAAATATTTTTGTTCTACTCAGAATCTTGGTTATTATTATTTTTCTGAGTTTTTTTATAAATAAAAATTTTTAAAGAAGGTAATCGTCCAATAATGGTCGTTGCTGAGAGTGAATTTATGAGGGCTAATATCCCTTCTGACGTCTCTGGACAGACTTATGTTGTCTTTTATGCTGAGATGATTGTTATTCCGGATACTGACGAGAATATGGAGTAAGTTTTGAATGTTTAAAAGTTTCAACATTTTCGAGTTAGTCTCCAAGTTTCCCAATCGGCAGGCCGAAACGTGCGGACCGACTTTTGCGGACCGAAACTTGCGGACCCGACGAATTTCTCAAAACATAGCCCATTCGAAAGAGCTCGACGAGCTGAGTCGAATGACATTAAAATCATCGTGATTGTACAAGCTTGGACAAAGTTACGATAGAAAACAAAAACCTAAACCTATGATCCGCAAAAGTCGGTCTGGAAGTTTCGCACTACCTCTCAATCTCCAAGTTTACATTAAAAAATTTTTAGTTGGAAAGCAGAACTTGGTCTCTACAAGGATGCTAATTGCTTCTTCCGCGTTAGTAGTGATGGTCACTATTACACTGCTACTACTAAGCGAATGTTTAGCAAGCCTCTGACTGGTTGTGTTATTTTTGGAGTTGGTCAGATCTTTCCTCCACGCAACAAGCCGAATGCACCGATCCAAATATTCTTTACAATGGATGGGAAGCAAATTGGTTTGAACATTTTAAATTTTTGTTTGACCAAGGTTATGCTGGACAGTTTTTTTCCTTTTAATCTCCTTAAAATTATGGTAAACTTTTCTGGTGAAACACACTACCGTTAAAGGGAAGACTAGTATTTCACTCTGGTTCAGTGTCACACAAAAATAATTGGTTCATAAAATTGTTCAAATCTAACCCATTTCTCATTACCTCAAAAATTTAAATCAAATTTTTAAGACAAGACAATTCTGATGTCAGAAGATGTTGATTTACTTCCACACATCATCGTTAAGAATTGCGATGCAGAGGTCAACTTTGGGATGGATGATACCAAGCCTTTCACTTATGACATTGGAAAGCATGAAGCTGCTTATGATAATTAATGGAATTGAAAAGAATTTGAAAATGTTTTTTAAGAAAATTTTTAAGTTATTTAAAATATAAAAACTTTCTTTTTTGGTAATTTTATTTTAAATAGTTGAGATTAGCAAAATATATCAGTTAATATTTGTTAAATAGTACTATATTTGGCAATACTAAATAATAGTCAAATACTTTATTCGATAGGCATTCTTCTAATCTCAACTATATATTTATATAATCACTCCCGTACAACACATACTTTTTTCTAATTTATCGATAAACATTTAAAGATTTGACTATTTTTTAATAACTAAAAATAATTTTAAAAAGTCCTTAGGCACTTGTAAAGAAGACGTGCCCGCTTTTTAGGGGGAATTGCCAGCAATTACAATATGCCCAAAGGTCCCAGATGCCTTTACTTTGGTGCAAATAAATCAAAAATGCCTCGAATAACTTTCCCAACTCGTTTAACACCTTCACCTACAGTTACCCCTCGAAAACATGAAGAAAAATTTCAAGAAATTGAAAACAATTTTTTATTAGAAAAATTTGAAGAAAAAGGAGAAGCAAATTGTTTAAGAAAAGAATATATAAAAATTGAAGAATATTTATTTTTTGAGACTAATGAACCCTTAATTGAAGAAGAAGATGAACAACATTTTATACAATTTTTGAAACTGTTAGTGTAAATTCGGCTGATGGAAGTGAAGAAAAGATTGTTAGGTATGGATGGATTTAATTGGGATTTTAAAAATAAAAAAATTCAAAAAAATTTTCAGAACAGCAATAACCAGAGTTCGTGACCCAATTTATAGCCGTGTCCGTTTTGCCGGCACCGAGGTAGAAAAAAAATATTTTTTTTAATATTTCTGTAAAAAATTCATTGTTTTAAAGGATGAGCAACAAATAAAAGCAATTTTAGAAAGTGGGAGGACAGATGAATTTGAATTGAGAGATCCAGAAGGAAATATAACACGTTTAAGAACTGTTGTTGAAAGGGGGAGTACTAGTAGTAGTACTTGATTTTTAAAAATTAATTAAAGTTTTGTGTTTGGGCTTTGATACAATTTTTGAGAAATTTTTTTGTTAAATTTTAGAGAAGAATATTCAATTTAATTGTGTCAAACACTCATTTCCCTTTGCCATTTTTTAAAAATATTTTTAGTTATTTAGAACTTTCTTTTGCCTTTCTTCTTTTAATTTTCAAATGCTCGATCGCTTTTCTTTTACTCTCAGCTTTTTCTTTTTAAACTTTGCATTTTTTATTTAAAAAATATTTTTCCCAGTTTCTTCCTTTTTTGCTTTTTTATAATTTAAAGTTTATTTCTTCAAGTTTTACCTCTATTTTATGGATTTACTTACCTATTATACAGAAATTTTAGTTGAGATTTCTGAACTGGGGAAAAAATTTACTTTTGTCTGGATTTTGGATGGAAAAGCACAAGTAAAATAGAGGTTAGGACTTTCTTCAAAAACTTTTCTTCCTTTTTCCTATATTTTTAAATTAAATAACCACCAACAAAATTCTCTCATAATTTAATTTAAATATTTAATACATTCCTTAAAATATTGCAATTTATTTTTTTAAATTTTTTGCTAAGTCATTTGTTTTTTTTGTTATTTGGAATATAAAAACATTCCTAAAAACATTGTAGAACGAGCTCTTTTTTAATAAATATTTCTTTGTTATTTATATTTTGTATGCTTATTTTTAGAGAATAAAAATTTATAATTTTAATTTTAAAATCAAAATACATATATTAATTATTAACAAAAAGAATATGTTTAGTATCGAAAAATACAGGGATAAAATTTTAAGAATAGTTAAAATTAAATCAAAAGGATAAACTAAACAAAGAAAATTGAGGTTTTATTTCTCATGTTTGCGGCGAAAATTTTGAGAATTTTGGAAGACACTTAAGCCAAAAAATCTTCCTTTTTGCGAAAATTTTGTTAATATAAATCCTATATCCGCCGAACTACCTGATACTCCTCTTGATTTCCCGATATCCATCGAAATTCCCCGATATCCTCTTTGATTTTCTGGTATCTATTTCCACCGACCCTAGAATTATGTATATCTATCGTTCTTTGAATTGGAGGTGTACAATGAAAGATGAGGATTTTTGGGATTAACGGAGATTACTCCATTTATTTCTCAATGACTTGTGATATATCGGCGATTTAAATGGATTGGTCGAAACCGGACTTAACAATTTTAAAGTTTCTAATTAAAAAAATTGTTTAGTCTCCGTGTAGAAAATATTTCAACTTCGAACAAGTTTTTTGTTTTGTATTTATTAAATGTTTATTTTATTTTTAATTCCGTAATCGAATTATACCCTCTCAACATTTTTAAATGTTTTTTTTTCTTTTTAAATTTAAATTACATAAATTTAATTTACTTTCCCTTCTCATATTTCTTAATCATTTCTTTATTCGCATTTAAACATTTTCCTCTAAGCCCATAATTTCGAGTACTTTCATCATCCTTCTGCCCCTATAAATACCCTCATATTTTTACATATATAACTCTCTTCGAGCCTCCCCTCCTTTACCCAATTTATGTTTTGTTGAAATAATTCTAAATAAATACCTCATTCAAGTTTAGGGTCGTTTTAATATTAAAACTGGCTATGCTAATACAATTCCGGCTGTAGTTTAGTATACTGAAGTTTCAGTTTCGTACAAAACACAAACCATTCGATTCGTCTCAACGAGCTCATGAATGAGCTAACATGTGCATTTTCGAAGTTTCACCCCAAAAAAGTGCTTCCCCCTCCTCATGATTTTTCGATTTTTGTGACCTATATCTCGGTCTATAGGCATTTCCACAAAAAGAGTGGTTTCAACATTTTTTAATTTTATTTCGATTTCATTTAGTGAATAATTTTTGAAACTTTTTAAAAATATAAAAAAAACAAAATTTTTGTTATTCTTGTAAAAATGACCTTATCAAAAAAACAACAAAATAATAAACCAATTCCAATTGAATTGATTTATGAAATATCAAGATCAATTAATGGATATGGAAATTTATTAATAAAAAAACAAATAAATGATACATCAAAACAACAAAAATATTTTGTTTCGAAAATTAAATGTAGTGAAAATGTGTTAATTTCTTCTAGAATAATTTACTTATTTAGTGGCAATACTTTAAAAGAAATATTGGTATAGTATTTTTTGTTTTTATAACTTTAGTTTGAGTACTTTTCCACTGCGTTCTTTTCTATATAAAATATGAAGAAGCGTCACATTTCTCCTTCAAATAATGGAAAAAATAAAATTTAAACTACAAATTATAACTTGATAAAGTATCTGCCCGCAAACGATACTTCGCTCCAGAACCAAAACAAAAAAAGCCTCTCAAGAGCCAAAAATTTTGCAACTAAAAATAAAATAAAGAATTTAAGAACGCAATTAGATACCTAATTAAAATATTTTTCTTTGGAAAAGAAATTTTTTTCAAATTTCATCTTAAGCGGAAAAGGGTTGTTGACCAGAAAGAGAGCTTACTCCATCTAGAAGATATCGAAATATTTTTATGGTTGAAATTTTTTCTAAATTTTATTTTTTCAGAATTATTTTAGAAAAATTAACAAAAGAAAAATTAGGGTAGTTAAGCTTGAAGATCTTATTAAAAAAATTGAGATTGAAAAACAAGAGAAGATAAGAAAAACTAAAGAAGAAAACGCACACGAATTGTTGCGCACGAGGAAGATCCAGGATATTCTGGACAGAGTAACCGAACAATTTAATAAGGAAATTGAAGAAGAGTATAAACAAAAGATGGAAGAATTAAAAAAGAAATATGAAAAACAAGTACGAATATCATAATTTTCCATTATAAATAATCTAAATACATAGTAATTTAGCTTATGACCAATTCAGTTTCTTCTCTATAATTACAATTTTATCTCCTAAGATCTTTTAAAACTTTCAGAAAATCATTAAATGCTTAATTTCAAGGTGCTTTTTTTGCCCAAAAACAAATTGGTAAAGGTTGCTGAGGTTATGAGTTGCTGTGATTCAAAATGTTTGCCTGCCGGTTTTTTTTGCCGTAATGCTAACGGAATCGTCAAGATACGCAAATGCGGTTTTTTGGCAAAATATTTAAGTTCTACTAAGAATCTTGGTTATTATTTTTCTGAGTATTTATTTAAATAAAAATTTTTAAAGAAGGTAATCGTCCAATAATGGTCGTTGCTGAGAGTGAATTTATGAGGACTAATATCCCTTCTGACGTCTCTGGACAGACTTATGTTGTCTTTTATGCTGAGATGATTGTTATTCCGGACACTGACGAGAATATGGAGTAAGTTTTGCCTGTTTAAAAATTTTGACATTTTCGAGTTAGTCTCCAAGTTTCCCAATCGGCAGGCAGAAACTTGCGGACCGAAACTTGCGGACCTGACGAATTTCTCAAAACATAGCTCATTCGAAAGAACTCGACGAGCTGAGTTGAATGACATCAAAATCATCGTGATTGTACAAGCTTGGACAAAGTTACGATAGAAAAATAAAAACCTAAACCTATGGTCCGCAAAAGTCGGTCCGGTAATTCTTCGGTTCGTATTCCCCCCCTCTTTTTTTCTGACCATTTTTTCATTTTTCCTTCCCTTTCTCCCTTATTTTACAGGAGAAAAGTAGGGTTATTGGCGATCGGTTAAAAACCGGTACTCTCTGTTTTCAGCTTTGCCGGTTTATGCCCCCGGTTTTCGATTGACCCCTGGTTTTTGGTTAATCGAAACCGGTTTATGCCTTAATTTGCCATACAGAATATTCAATTCATATTTTATCCCATTTTTATTGTCTCACCGGAGCCGAAATTTTGACAGAACTGGATCCAATTTAAGTTCCGATTCCCGGAACCTGAACCGGAATTTTAAAAATTTTTACTGTCAAATTTTAAATAATTTTGTTTTAATTAGGGGTGTCATGAAAAATAAGGGATAAAGGGAAGGGAAAATGAAAAAATGGTCAGAAAAAAGAAGGGGGAATACGAACCGAAGAATTACCGTCGGTCCGCAAGTTTCGCACTACCTCCCAATCTCCAAGTTTACATTAAAAAATTTTTAGTTGGAAAGCAGATCTTGGTCTCTACAAGGATGCCAATTGCTTCTTCCGCGTTAGTAGTGATGGTCACTATTACACTGCTACTACTAAGCGAATGTTTAGCAAGCCTCTGACTGATTGTGTTGTTTTTGGAGTTGGTCAGATCTTTCCTCCACGCAACAAGCCGAATGCACCGATCCAAATATTCTTTACAATGGATGGGAAGCAAATTGGTTTGAACATTTTAAATTTTTGTTTGGCCAAGGTTATGCTGGACAGTTTTTTTCCTTTTAATCTCCTTAAAATTATGGTAAACTTTTCTGGTGAAACACACTACCGTTAAAGGGAAGACTAGTATTTCACTCTGGTTCAGTGTCACACAAAATTAATTGGTTCATAAAATTGTTCAAATCTAACCCATTTCTCATTACCTCTAAAATTTAAATCAAATTTTTAAGACAAGACAATTCTGATGTCAGAAGATGTTGATTTACTTCCACACATCATTATTAAGAATTGCGATGCAGAGGTCAACTTTGGGATGGATGATACCAAGCCTTTCACTTATGACATTGGAAAGCATGAAGCTGATTATGATAATTAATGGAATTGAAAGGAATTTGAAAATGTTTTAAAGTTATTTACAATATAAAAACTTTCTTTATTGGTAATTTTATTTTAAATAGTTGAGATTAGCAAAATATATCAGTTAATATTTGTTAAATAGTACTATATTTGGCAATACTAAATAATAGTCAAATACTTTATTCAATAGGCATTCTTCTAATCTCAACTATATATTTATATAATCACTCCGTACAACACATACTTTTTTCTAATTTATCGATAAACATTTAAAGATCTGACTATCTTTCAATAACTAAAATAATTTAAAAAAGTCCTTAGGCACTTGTAAAGAAGACCGTGCCCGCTTTTTAGGGGGGGGATTGCCAGCAATTACAATATGCCCAAAGGTCCCAGATGCCTTCAACTTTTTTATTAAAAATATTTTTTCCCAGTTTCTTTTTTTGCTTTTTTATAATTTAAAGTTTATTTCTCAAGGTTTTGCCTCTATTTTGAGATTTACTTAAATTTCTATTTTTACATAAAAATTTTCGTTGTGATTTCTGAACAGGGGAAAATTTTTTGTGTCTGGATTTTGGATGGGAAATCAAAAGTAAAATAGAGGTTAGGACTTTCTTCAAAGCACTTCTTCCTTTTTCCTATATTTTTTAATTAAATAACCACCAACAAAATTCTCTCATAATTTAATTTAAATATTTAATACATTCCTTAAAATACATATTGCAATTTATTTTTTTAATTTTTTGCTAAGTCATTTGTTATTGTTATTTGGAATATAAAAACATTCCTAAAAAACATTGTAGAACGAGCTCTTCTTTAATATTTTTTGTTATTTATATTTTGTATGCTTATTTTTGGAAAATAAAAATTTATTTTTAATTTTAAAATCAAAATATTTATTCTTTTATTAAATCTCTAACAAATTACATAATATAATTCTAAGAATTATTAAGATTAAATGAAACGTATAAACAATTGGAAATTAGATAAAAGTTTGTGGAACTTTCAATTTAAAAATTCAGACCAATCTTTCAAGTGCTTAAAATTTATTTCTTCAAAAAATTCCTTTTTTTAAACTAAAATTTTAATTTTTATTTGAGAAACCTGGAATAATACTTTGCTTAAAATGCATCATTGTCTAATAGATAAGAGCAATGTCACAGCGTATAAAATAATGCGAGGTGTTTCTTAATTAGAAATAAAAAAATTGTTAAACATTTTCTGTATTATTCCAGAATTTTTTATTTAAAATATTCCCTCAACAAATATTCTCATAAATATTTTCCTTTTTTCCAACATACATAATCATTTGCTATTTAATAAAACTGCCCCTAAATCGAAAATCCTTTAATATATAAAAAATATTTATAAATTTTCCTCAATTACCTTTCATAATTAAAAATAAGCTTCAGTAAGGTTATTTATAACATTTAGAAAATAATTATTGTTTTTTTTTTGTAAATTTGTTTTAATTATTATTTTAAATAATTTATCTAATTTTAGTATTTTATACTTTAACATTTAAATAAAACTTTGCTTTTTTTTAATTTTCTAATTAAATTTTAAAAATGAATGGAGAAGGATCGTCAAATTCTGATTTGGAATCAAAAGTAATTTTTGAAATAATGAAAAAAAAATTTTAAATATGTAATTTAAGTTAACTGAAAATCATTTTATAAAACTTCAAAATAATTTTATCGACCTTCAAACAAAATTTATTGAAGAGAAGGAAAAGAATTTTTATCTTGAAAAGAAAATTCTTGAAAATGAATTAAAAGAAATGAAAGAAGTTTGGAAATTAAATATAATTTTTGGCTTTACTGCAGTTTTTGAGTCCATCGAACCATCGAATTTTTGAGATACGGGGTAGGTCGGTCAAGGCTGAAAATGGGAAAACGGAATAGGATTATGTTACTTGATTGGAATCCAGCAACCGTTGACTCCCGCGAAGCGTGAATAAGGTTGGCGGAGTCGGATATCCGGGTCCGAAAAAAGGCCGTATATCCGGAAATTTTTGGTTCGGATACCGGATCCGGATATCCGAAGATTTCCAACTATCCGCCAACTTTAGGCGTGAAGCAATAGGTTTACGTTGACCATTTTGAGCCTTATTACAACTCAGAATGATTAGAACTGAGAATACATGTTTCGAATTAAATAGGTGAAAATGAAGTAACTCTGAGGCGTGATAAAAAGGCTCAAAATTTACAATGTAAATCTATGGGCCTACCCCCGTAGCTCATAAAAATCTGATTGGACTCATAAACTGCAGTAAAACCTTTTAGAAAAATAAATTTTAGAAAAATCAAAAACTCGAGTCTGATCTTAAATTGGAACAATTAAATAATATTAATTATAAATTAGTGGTTAGTTTAATTTTAAAAAAATGATTAAATATGTAATAGTTTAGAGTTTTGTTGAAGTTAAAAATAAATGGAAATATGTTGATAAAAGCTTTAAATGTTGTGAAAATAAATGTATAAGTACAAACAACCCAACTGGTAAATGCGTTAAAGGAAATGGATCTATTAATTTAATTGACGAAGAAAATGTTAAATATATTAATTGTTTGAAACGGAAAGGTTAAGTTAAAAATTTAGATTTAATTTTTTAAATTTTTAGGCAATGATAATAGTGCTGGTGTTCTTGCGGAAAATTCATTCAAAAAACCCCAAAATTGTTTTAATTATTCTTTATTTTATTTTGAAATTAAATGTAAAATGGAAAGACAATTAAATAAGTGTTGGATGGTTATTGGTGTTGTTAATACTAATAAATGTTTTAAATTTGTTGCAAGAAAGTGTGCAATTGAAAATGAAAAAGATGAAGAATTTAAACTTTTAGCATTTTCTTGGAATGATAATGATGTTTTTGGGTGTGGATTAGTTTATCCTCCAACTATAGTTAATGAATTTCCTTATGTTTTCTTCACAAAAAATGGACAACAAATTGGTAAGAATAAGGATTGAATTTGTATCTAAATTTAATTTTTAAAGGAAAAGCTTTATTGTTAAAGGCTAATTCTGATTTTTACCAGCCATATGTTGTATTAGAATGTTGTTCAGTAGAAGCAAACTTTGGAAATAATTTGGAGACAAAGCCTTTTATTTATGACATTTCGAAACATTTTGTTTGTAAAGAATTTTATTGAAATTTTTGTTTTAGAGTTGTGGATTTTTCGATAATTTTATGATTAAATTTTTTCTTTTGTTTTCAAATTATGTTTTTACATCCTTTGACATTACACAAATTAAATATCAGGCTGATTATTTTTATTCTCTTTAATTACTTTTACATTGGCTGATTCTGCCCTCAAAAGTTTTTTTTGTTTACAGGGTGACCCAAAAGAAACCGGGCACTTTTATATCCTTTATAACTTTTTTTGTTCATATAATTTTTAGATAATTCCAAGTTTATTTTGTAGATCATTTATTTCTCTATCATATAGTAAAATTAAAGATTTTTTGATTAAGGATTAAGAAAGTTACGTAATTTTAGGTACACCATATCAAAATTTTCCCCCAAAAATTTTGATTTCTGTATCTCGAAAAGGAGAAGTCCAAACGGGATGATCTCAACAGAATTTAATTAAGATCATTAGCGAACAGGACAAATCTGAAAGATGAAAACTCCAACTCCTACATGGATGGCTCTTAGTATATGTAAATCAGTTTTGGGGGGAATGCGATTTTCTCATTTTGGGAGGGTTACGCGCAATCGAATATCTCTTTAAGCGTTAATCCAAAAAATTTTTTGCTTTATAATTTCTATAGATAAAGTCTGCTCTAGATGCCAAAAAATTTTTGTGTACGTCCTGCAATCTATTCTAATGTTATAAGCAAAATGTCTCAAAAACAGTTGCGACCTTTAGCAATAATTTTTCTCACATTCCTTTAACCGTATCTCAAAGTAGAATAGGGAAAATTCTAAAAGATTTTTATATTTTATTCTCCATTTAGTTCTCTATAATTTCATCTTTATTTGATCTCATTATCTTCAATTTGATTAAAGTTATGGCAAAAATAAAGTGTCCAATTACTTTTGGGTCACCCTGTAAATAAATATGTATTTTTGAATTTAATATTAAAGGGAAAGCTTTATTATCAAAAGATAATCCTGCTTATTACGAGCCATATGTTGTATTACAATGTTGTTCTGTGGAAGCAAACTTTGGAAATAATTTGGAGAAAATTCCTTTTATTTATGATACCTCAAAACATTTTGTTTGTAAAGAATTTTATTGAAATAAATTTTATTGAAATTTTTGTTTTAGAGTTGTGGATTTTTTAATTTTATGAATTATTTTTTCTTGATAAAATTTTGTTACTTTTTAAAGGTTTTTTGGAGTTTTTAAAACTCAAGATGTTAAAAATGAGGCTAAACATACATATATATTTATGTATCATCATGATTTTGAATCTTAATTTTGTTCTTAGAACCTATATTTTAATATTGAGTCAAGTAATAATCCAGCTGATTTAAATGGGATCACTGTATGTTGAAAGAAAATCGGGAACACGATAAAATTTCAATTCCCGACTTCGAGTTAAGAGTGAAGAAGATTCCAAGAGGTGTCAAGAGAGAATTAGTAAATACAACGATATTCACCTTAATTCACCAATAGCCTCTTCAAATCGTCTAATATAGTAAAGCAGAGCTGAGCTATTTTTCCTTCAGCTATTGCAAAATTTTAATCAGCGTCTGGGAGCCAACAAATCATCAGATATCCCACTTAGGGATAGCACAAGAGCGTAAATTCCTCACGTGTAAAGTCCTCGATATTACCTTTAATCCCTCTTTTAATTACCCCGTATATCCCTCAAATCCACTTTAATCCATGTAAATCCTCCGATAACCACATGATTTTTAATTTTTCGGTGCCATATGCGGAAATTTTAGAATTGTGAAAGACCGTATACTAGCTTTGCCATGCACAACATACATATGTATGTATTCCCTCAACAAATATTCCCATACATAAATTCTTCCCCATCTTCCAACATAAGTATTATTTAATAAAACTGCCCCTGAATCAAAAATCCATCAAAATATAAATAGTATTTTTTGAATATTTTTTTCAGTTTAAAAGGTTTTCTATAACGTGGGTTTTTTAAAAAGAAATAAATTTTTTAATATTTTTTTTGCTAAATTGACTATTTTAATTTATCTAATTTCATTATTTTAGTACTTCATCATTTAAATAAAAGTATTGCTTCGTTTAAAATATTTTAATTAAATTCCAAAAAAAATGACCGAAGAAGTGCCAACTTCTGTTTTGGAATTAATAGTTATTTTTGAAATATTAAAAAAATTAAATTAATAATTTAAGTTAATCCAAAATTATTTTATAAAACATCAAAATAATTTTATCGAACTTCAAACAAAATTTATTGAAGAGAAGGAAAAGAATTTTAATCTTGAAAAGAAAATTCTTGAAAATGAATTGAAGGGAATGAAGGAGGTTTGGAAATTTTTATTTTTCTAAACTCTAATAATTTAATTTTAGAAAATTCAAAAACTCAAATCTGATCATAAAAATGAAATTGAAGAGTTAAAACAAAATTCTAAACAAAGAGTTGTTTTGGAAACAGAAAATATTTCTTTAAATAAAGTTAATGAAAAAGATGAAAAAATAAATTCTTTGGAAAAACAAATTAAAGAGGCAAATAAATAAATTGGAAAAGTTTTTAATTTTTATTTAATTCAAAATATAATTAATTACCTTTTCAAAAAGGCAAATAATTTATTTGAACAAAAGATTTGTGATTTAAAATTTGAATTGAAACAATTAAATAATGTGACTTGTAAAGTAGTGGTTAGTTTAATATAGAAATGTTTTTTAAAAGAATATTTTAAGAATTTTGTTGAGATAAAAAATAAATGGAAATATATTGATGAAGATATTAAATGTTGTGAAAATAATTGTATAAATACAAACAAACCTATGTAGTTGTGTTTGTATTAAAGGAAATGGATCTATTAATTTAATTAATGATGAATATATTAGATATTATAATTGTGTTGAGGGGAAAGGTTAATTTAAAATTTTAAAATTAATTTTTGTAAATATTTTAGGTAAGGATAATGGAGGTGCTATTTATGCTGAAAATTCATTTGAAAGGCCTCAAAATTGTTTTAATTATTCTTTATTTTATTTTGAAGTTAAATGTAAAATGGAAAGAGAGTTAAATAATTGTTGGATGGTTATTGGAGTAGTTAATAATACTAAGTGTTTTAAATTTCTTTCAAAGACTGGTATAATTATGAATGAAAAAGATGAAGAATTTAAATTGTCATTTTCTTGGAGTGATAGTGATGTATTTGGGTGTGGATTAGTTTACCCTCCAACTATAGTTAATGAATTTCCTTATATTTTCTTCACACAAAATGGAAATCAAATTGGTAAAGATAAAGCTTATATATAGCTTTTTAATTTCATTTTTAAAGGGAAAGCTTTATTGTCAAAGGATAATTATAATTGGTACCATCCATATGTTGTATTACAATGTTGTTCTGTGGAAACAAATTTTGGAAATAATTTGGAGACAAAGCCTTTTATGTATGATATTTCGAAACATTTTGTTTTGAAAAAATTTTATTGAAATTTTGTTTTAAAGTTGCGGATTTTATAACTTTATCATTTAATTTTTGATCATTTCGCCGGTAAATGTCCAGTTCGCTATCTACCTGTCCGCAAATGGAAAGCTCACTTTTCCTTCCCTCTTTGCATTTTTTGCGTGCTCGCCTCCTTTTTACCGTAAAAGGAGAGAAGAAGGAAAGAAAAGAATAATTAATAAAGTAAAAAAATATTTTTTTACAAATAATCAAATAATATATGTACATACCTACTATATATAAAAACCAATTAAATGACCCGAAATCCCCCAAAATCCATTGATATCCCTTCCCTGAAAATCCATTAATATTCATTTTAATTTCTAAATATAGGTGGATTTGAGAGTTGAAGTTGCATCGGGGAATTTGAAGGGGGATTAAGGGCATGGATTTGGAGGGTTAAGCTGGATATCGTTAGATTTGAGTAGAGTAGTTTTTTGACATAAAATAAAAAATTTCTGTTAGTATCGGTCAGTATCGTTTCTCGGTATCGGTCTCGGCTCAAAATGATGGTATCGGTCTCGGTATCGGGTTCATGAGTCTCGGTCAATCTCGGTCTCGGGTTGGCCGATACCAGTATCGTTTTGATCAACTCTAGATTTGAGGGTCCTCTCTTGGTTTTGTGATGTCTTTGTCTCGAATCTAGCTATTTGGGTCTATATTTATCATTTTTTAACGATTTCAAACTTTTTTGATATGAAAAATATCAATTTTTTTATTTTTATTTTATTTCGCTTCGATTCGGAATACAATTTTTTTTATTTCGCCCAGCCCTGGTTCGCACTTAATCACACATTTTCTCTCTCCTTTCCAACTGAAAAATTATGCTGTATCAGCAAGAAGGAAAAATAGGCGAGCACGCAAAAAATGCAAAGAGGGAAGGAAAAGTGAGCATTCCTTTTGCGGACAGGTAGATAGCGAACTGGACATTTACCCATTTCGCCTTTTTTCCTTTTAAAATAATTATTTTACTATTTTTTTTGATTTAATTCAAATTATTTTTTTGATAAAAATATTTCACGTAATTTTTGAAATATTAAATAAAATTAAATTTAAATAATTTAAGTTGACCCAAAATTATTTGATAAAACATCAGAATAATAATAGATACAACGATATAAATCTTAATCCACCAATGGCCTCTTCAAATCCTCTAATATAGTAAAGCAGAGCTTGGCTATTTTTCCTTCAGCTATTGCAAAAGTTCAATCGACGGTTGAGAGCCAACAAATCCTCGATATCCCACTCAGGGATAGCGCAAGAGTGTGAATTCCTCACGCGTAAATTCCTCGATATTCCCTTTAATTCCTCCTTTAATTATCCCGTATATCTCTTCAAATCCAATTTAACCCATAAATCCTCCGATAGCCACATGCTTTTTAATTTTTTAGTGCCATTTGCGGAAATTTTTAGAATTGTGGAAGACCGTATACTAGCTGTGCCATGCACAACATACATATGTAGGTATTTCCCTCAACAAATATTCCCATACATAAATTCCTCCCCATCTTCCAACATAAGTATTATTTTATAAAA